TCCTGACACATCTGAAATAATACATAGTATTGATCTAGAATACCGACAACTTTGTTTAAGTCTATACTTTGAAATTGTTTGGTTTTTATATTTCTGGTTATTTTTTCAAAATAAATGGGGTAGGGGAGGTATGTAAGCTCTAATATAATGACAGGCTTTCCAATATACATTTTTAAATACCTTAAATCAAAGTTGGCCGGCAAAAGAACAAATCTGATCAAGAATCCATCAACCAATCAGCATAAAACTAAAGATATAAGGAACTATATGTTAATGCTAAAAGTGGAAATGATGAAAAATTGATGAAAAATGCCAAATTTTGTTCTTAAATGTCTAATTTCTCGACACTAGTATACTAATGAAGATCATGAAACATTAATCATAGCAATCAATAACAAATAAAGAATAGCTACATCTTTGTTAAAGTTTATGCTTGTAATTTGAAGTTATTTTTTATATTTTCCGGTCATCTTCCCTAATAAATGGGGTAGGGGAGATCTGAAAGCTCTAATATGAAAATTGTTTGTCCACTATACATTTTCAGTACCTTAAATGGAATAAGACATGTATAAGAACAGATTTGATCAAAAATGCATCCACCAGTCAGCATAAAACTCAAGATATGAGGATCTATATGTTACTGCTGAAAGCAGCATTGATTAAAAAATGCCAAGTTTTGTCCTTAAATGTCTCATTTCTAGCCACTTGAATACCAATAAAAGTTCTGAAAAATCTTAAAAACATTAAATAACACATAATATTGATATAGAATAGCTACAACTTTATGAAAGTCTATAATTTCAAATTATTTTATTTTTTCATATTTCTCGTTTATTTTCCCTAATAAATGGGGTAGGGGAGATCTGAAAGCTCTAATATGAACATTGTTTGTCTACTATACATTTTCTTTACCTTAAATGGAAGAAGACATGCACAAGAACAGATCTGATTGAAAATGCAACAATCAGACAGCATAAAACTCAAGATATGAGGAACTATATATTACTACTGAAAGCGAAAATGATAAAAAAATGCCAAGTTTTGTCCTTAAATGTCTCATTTCTACCCACTTGTATACCGATATAGGTTCTAAAATATCTTAAAAACATTAAATAACACATAATATTGACATAGAATAGCTACAACTTTCTTAAAGTTAATAATTTCAAGTTAATTTATTTTTTCATATTTTTCGGTAATTTTCCATAATAAATGGGGTAGGGGAGATCTGAAAGTTCTCATATGAACATTGGTTGTCCACTATACATTTTTTATACCTTAAATGGAAGAACACATGTATAAGCACAGATTCAATCAAAAATGCACCAACCAGTTAGCATTAAACTCTAGATATAAGGAACTATATGTTAATGCTGAAAGCGAAAATGATAAAAAATGCCAAATTTTGTCCTTAAATGTCACATTTCTAGACAAAAGTATACAAATGAAGGTCTCGAAACATCTGAGAAACCTTACATAACACAAAATATTGATATAGAATAGCTACAACTTTGTTTGAATTGAACATTTTGACTTCTTGTAGTTTCCATTTTTAGCCAATTTTTTTCTAAAAAATTCAAGGTATGTCTTCTTCAGACCAGTATTTAGATATGTTCGCAAGAGTTATATGCTTCGCAGGCGAAATACTTTATGCAGGACACCCTAATAGAATAAAAAATACACAGAAATTCCATCCAGCTCAAAAAGTCATTTTTTCCTTAACGGAGCCTCTTAGAAAATTTTCCACCCCGAGTAAATACTATTTCATGATATACCAACCAGCAGAAAAATCTCTAAAAGCATACAACCCCCCCCCCCCCACCAAATCGATCATAAATGGTCTATTTTCACTTTTTATAGTCAGCTAGACTGTATTTACTAAATATAACACTTAAAAACACATTTACCCCAAAACACACTTTGACACATTTTTTCTAGCTCAATCTCAGAATCATTCAAGGAACCCTTTACCTTTAATAACTCAGATGCGAGTAGGTAGTTACATGTACCAGTTTCACCACCAGGTGGCTGATTCGGAGGAAATTACATGGTAGAGTACTACTAAATTACCTTAAACTTGAATATTCATTGGTTTTACTGGTCCACTTTTCATATTACCCTTATGTATCTGATAGTTATACAAATTAAAATATGTCCTGTAAAAGAAAATATTATCTGCCCAACACATTAGAAAAGATATTTCCATTTTTGTGATTTAACAACATGGGGTCTATGGGGAATCTCCCCGACCTAGAAGTCACATTTTCAAAGAAAATTGAATTTTCAAAGTTGATACACATTCAAAACCACATTTCTAGAGGTAATTTCACATGTAGATTCCAAATATGACATCAGTTTGACTGAATTTTGAACTTTTAATGACATTAATCAAGATTATTTCTACTCTCATCTAGGATATTAGGAAACATGAATAATGCCTGCTCCTCAAAAAACAAGATGTCATTATACTTTCAACGCACTGATTCCACGGTGTCCAACCCAAATGCTCTTACATGCACGACGGAGCGTTTCATTCACGCGGAAAGGCTGTGGAGAGAAATAAAATGGCGGCTAATGAAGATCCCACTATGACTGTACATATTATTTCACCCATTTCTCTTACATATCATACGTTATGGTGACATATTATGTACCATTCGATGAACTATTCCCTGAGGAAAGATCTTATTTATTCAACTTCTGGTAGTAAACTGTTATTTGCTTGATCAAATCTCCGTAGTGAAGATAGAACCAATCAGAAGTTAACAAATTGACAACAAATTAATCTAATAAGTATTTATATGAAAACGTCATTTGCCAAAATCCCAATCAAAATCCATCACTTGTTCTCGAGAAATCACTTGTTTTCCTCGAAACACTCCATCGATCTTGGAAACAATTTTAGAAAAGCTTTTACCATTCTGTTTTGATATTATATTCAGATTATTAGAGAAGAGTTCAGAATCGAATCTATCTCTCAAAAATGTGTTGTACTTGTTAGGCAAATTGAAACTTCCCAACCTGGTGGTGCTACACTTGCAACTAGATAACGGCAACTCCGCGGAGTAGCAAATCCCAACGAACAAAATATCAATTACCGAATTCCAATCAATTATACTCATTACTTTGGTTAAAATTTAAAAAATTAGATTTTAGAATTGCGAATTCCTGCAAAGCAGCCATTTTGAATTTTCTGAGGTACAAATCTGAAAAATAATACCATAATTGTGATCTACTCCAAAATTCCTTCAATTTGAGTATAATATAGCCATACTTTGAAGGGATCAAAAAATTATTGCGAAATCGTACTTTAGACGGCCATTTTGAATTTTACGAGGCTCGAATCAGAAAAAAGATACAATATTTGCAATCTACTCTTAATTGCCTTTCATTTGAGTATAATAAAGCTATACTTCAGAAAGATCTAAAAATTGGCCAAAATTTCTGTTTTCCTGACCCCCCATACACGGCCCCTGGGGGTCAGGATGAAAAACACGGAATATATGTGAAAAAGATAGATGTTGCGAATATACTACCAAATTTTCAAATAATAATATTAATTACTTTGGTTTAAAATGAAATATTTATGAGTTTTGCGAAAAAGTCCCGTCATTTTTAAAGCGGCGGCCATCTTGAAAAAAATTTTTTTTGCGTAAAACTATTCATCAATATACATCTTTCCACCAAATATGAAGAAAATCCATCCACTAATATTTGAGTTATCTTCCGGACAGACGGACGGACTGACTGACTGACTGACTGACTGACGGACAGACGGACGGAGGGCTTCACTATATCCCTACCGAACTTCGTTCGTTGGGATAACGAGCCCACTTAAGCCTTCATTAGATGATGTTATGCCTGCATGTGTGCTAAAACATAAAAACTATTGACAAAAACAAAAAGTTTAAATGTGAATTAATCTTTCTTCTTTTGATGCCAAGGGGTATAATTCAGTAGATCTTTTCTTTCCCTTCCTGAAAAGGAAAGTCAAGCTAATTCCTAAACATATCTAGTACTGACTAGTACTGCAGTGATTCCGGTTCACTGTGTAAACCAGATCGCAGCATTTCTTGAATATGAGAATGTCATCATTTTTAAGACTGGATTTTCTGTCATCAGATCAGAATTATGATAATGTATGGTGTGTTAAAGCTTTGGAATTTGATCAAAATATACTCTGGTGCTCTAATTTTGACTCAACTAATCACATGTCTGGACAAAAGTGGTTTGACCAGTAGAATGACAAATATGTTTATGAATTTTGATAAATATACTGCTTCGTACAGCTCTTCCCAATTGCTTCAAATGTCAACAGCCAGCCAAGTATAACATGGATATCACACCCATTGAATGGTATACTCGAAATAAGTAACATATACTTCTTATTCCAATTATTGGGAAAATCATCAGATGACTCATCTTTACCAGCCACCATTTTTTCTACTCCGAAGCATTTCTTTGTTTAGTTTCAGTAATGAAATGCTCCATCGTGCATGTAAGAACATTTGGGTAAGACACCGTGGATTCTAATCTATGAACTCAAAGGCACGTTTTACTTAATTTAACTTTACACAAAATACCTATTAGCTCCCAAGTCTCTCCAACCTCCGATCACAGGGCTTCAAAATCCAGATTATCTTCTTTCTTTTTGCCCCCTGCTATAAGAAGTTAGCATTTTCCTGATTAAGAACTCGCAATTTGATTCGCGACAGCAATCATGTATACATCATCGGCGCATAATTAGATCACGTGATTCAGTTTAATTGGGCACTTCCAACTTGGTTATAGCAGGGGGAAGAAGGAGGTACGGATTCTGGACACCTGCTTAGGAGGATGAAGTCTCTCATCAGCATAAAATATTTGAACCATATCAGTCAACTGGTATTTGAGTTATTACAAAAAATGGTGGCCATTTAGAATGAGTGAGCATAATGAAAAAAGGAAAAATATCTCTTTGATCATGCTTTATTTATGACATAAGTTTTTCTGAATTGCAGTCGGTATGCTAAACTTTTCAAAGAACTATACCACATACAAAAGTCTCCATAAGGGCCCCTCCCCTGTAGTGCAATCAACATATACAACTGATGGTAGGGGGCGCTGGTTTCCACTCACTTGTCGACCAAGACAAAGAACAATTATAGTCATTCCATTTAGAGATCGAGATGAGCATCTTAAAATATTTCTTGATCATTATGTTCCAATTCTTCAAAGACAGCTGTTAGATTACACCATCCTTGTTGTTGAACAGGTAAGGTAACAGGTAAATATATTATCATATATCATATCGTTTCCTCATTTGAACTCTTTTTATCACCCATTCATGTCACTTACTGGAATTACACCAGAAAAAAGCTTAAAGCGCGTTAGTGGAAAGCGCTTTACAAAATCGGCATCCTGATTACACTAGTTCTAAAGTGCCTTTGGAATTTTAGGGATTTTATTTTGAAATTACACCTGTCATTTCTAAAATGCCTTTCGTGCACTTTTAGCAATGTAGATATATAAGAATATCCAGCAGATGTGTACATCTACAATAAATGTATTCTTTTAGCATCTAAGAGAAAACATAATCTAGACTTTTGCCAATGGTGTAAACTAACTTTGAATTTTTGCGATATAATTAATGGCCTATTGCTTTTTTTGGGTCCCATCCATCATTTCCTGTATTTTTGTGGTGGCCCAAATGTGTAGCATTCGAAATATGTCTTATTTGGTTTAGGGAAAATAATAAAAACCTGGGTAAGGCGTTTTACAAAAACTGATCGGTATTGCACTATACTCTAAAAGCGCCTAAGGATTTCAGGCGTTTTTAGTGACTAGGGTTCTAGGAGTTTTGGAAAAGTGCTTTTGTAAATCCGCAATCGTGATTACACCTATTTTTCAAACCAGGTTAAAACCTTAGGTGCCTTTCTAAAACGCATGGTGTAATTCCATTAACTCACGCACAGATAATATTACTTGAGCCTCTAGTCAAGGCGAGAGATCATCATCAAATGCAGTAAACCCCATCGTGCAACGAGAACTTCATTACATCGGTTCATTTTGTACTCTAGAAAATAATTTGCTAAATATTTTTCAAAAATATTTGTGAGAATGGAAACTGAATTGAAATTAAAACTGAATATGTCACATATGAGATATAATACTTCATTTGGTATAAATATCAATGGGTTCGGGCTACCGTACACATGGAAATAAAGTATACATGTGTAGTATTTTATTTTGCTATATCAAGAAAATGGTCTTATTCTTCAATTAGTGAATCCACAAAACCATGCAATATTACATTGGATTATAACAGGTTCTGGGTTGGTTATTAAAATTGATTTATCAAGCAAATTTTCATTCATTTATTGAACACTGATCTTGTTGCAGGATTCCACTCAAAGATTCAACAGGGGAGCTATGTTCAATGTCGGCCACAAAACAGCTCTCTCCATGACCGATGAGGATCAAGCTCCTCTATGTTTCATACTGCATGACATTGATCTACTCTTAGAGAATGATCGGCTGACTTATGAGTGCTCGCAACATCCAACTCACCTCTCTGTTGGAGTTGATACATTCGAATATCGGTTGGTCTACTTTCTAACGATTACCAGATAGAATATGAATATTTTCCAACAATGAAAACGTCAAAATGTTGTTACTTTCTGAAATTATAATCGACTATAAATTCAAAATAAACAGTCCAAAAGATTCGAACCAATATGGAATTTTTCGTTTGGAAATAAGACCAAAAGGCAGCTATTTGAATTCGAATTTTGTAATCAAGACATGCCCATATATGGCAAAAATATCAAAGTTGCACTCTGGGAGCCAATCCTTGTATATGTTCTAGATTAACCAACATTCTGTTTACGTGACATGATATACTGATGCTAGATTTTTATTGTAGCTTGCCTTATACTTACCTGTTTGGTGGTGTGGTTGCTATATTTGGGGAGCAGTTTAACATATCAAATGGCTTTAGTAACCTTTTCTTTGGTTGGGGTGGTGAGGATGATGACTTCAGAGCAAGGTATGCATCCTCCGAAATAGAGGAATGATAATATGTATCCTCCTAAGTAGATGAATGGTTGATAAACTGTTCAACAGAAATTATTTTTGAATCCCTACTGCAGGCCCGTAGCCAGGATTTACTGAGGGGGGAAGCGGTTTTACCAAGGGGGAGCTTTTGCCAAGAGGGGGGAGCTTTTTGACAGTTTTGGCAAAAAATTAAGCGAAAAGTGCTCAGAATGATGAAAAACTGCATGATTTTGAAAGAATTTCTGGCCAGGGGGGAACAGCTGCTCCCTCCGTCCCCCTGGCTACGGGGCTGTACTGAACAGGCTTGTTTCATTTTCCTTTGTTGTAAGAATACTAAAATCCAAAATATGATGAAATTTATGGAAATGTATGTAAATATGTTCATATGTGCACCCCATGGTCTATCTAGTAACCTGCTTCATGAAAATAACAGTAAATATTTGTTTCAACTTTTTCAGACTAGTTGAAGCTGGCTTATTTCCAGTACAACATGAAAATGGTTCTATCGCTCGTTATTCTATGATAACCCATGACCAAGTTGAAAAAAATGAAGCCAGGTTTGTATTGGATGGTTAAACCATAAATAGAATATAGTATCTTTTATTGTCTCTCTGATGTCATTGCAATGATATATTAGTCACAACAAACTACTATAAATGAATACAAAATTAAACTAAGACTAAACTAACTACTTCATAGAAAATATACAAAGTTGTAAAATACAATTACAGCATCACAAAATGTAAAATACAAAAATATGAGATAGTTGTAAAATACAAATACAACATGACAGAATTTAAAACATCAGTGTGATGTATCATTGTCACAATATTAATTCAGTTTTTTGAATGAATGATAAATGAACTTTGCTAGATGTAAAATTACATAAGAATTTTTATGAGACAAAAGTTTTTTGAAAATAGAGTCAGGACAATCTACACAATCAAATTGTGTAAGGGTGTCAAACAGAAGTTTTCTTTCTGTTGTATTTTTCTTACACATCATGATAAAGTGTTGTTCATCTTCTAAAATACCACACATATTACATTAACATTCATCCAAAGGTCTTGGCTTAGGCTTCAAATGACGACCAATTTCTATATGTAATTTGTGTGAACTAAGCCTTAATCTACTAATTGCTTGTCTGTAATTTTTATTTTGTATATTTAAATAACCCTCTCTTTCAAAGACATTTTTGAATGTTATGTAAGTTCTTAAAACAGGATATTTGAAAATATCTTTCTGCCACTGAGACTTATAATTCTGATACAGTTTTTTTGTTATCACCTTGATAAAAATATAATCATCATCAATCTTTTGAGTTTCCCAATATGAGAATAAATCACATTTTTCAAAATATCAGTGATTTTGTTTGACCAGGTGCCTTTAAAACCAAGTTGGCTCATTTCATGGTCATTCGTATATGTTTTATGAAGAATGTTTCCATGTGATAGATGAATTAAACGGAGCCAATTTTAATTAACTTAATTTCAAAACGTATTTTTAATGGATAACGTCCTAACTCTCCATAGACTGCTGGTGTTGCTGTTGATTTTTTAACCTAATAAACTTTTAAGAAAAGATAAATGCATTGTCTCTATTTTCTCAAGATGTTTTTCATTGATCCATACCTCTGAAGCATAAGTTAGGATAGGTTCAACTAAAGAGTCAAAAAGGTGCAATGCAAGATTAACTGGAATGTCATTAAATTTTTAATATTGCTGTTTAACTTTAAACAAAGCTTTTATTGCCTGCTCTTTTAGATAACATACATGCTGGTCAAAATTCTTAGTTTTGCTGAATACACATCCTAGATATTTATATTGCTCAACACTTTCTATTGCACTATCATTACATGTGAAAACTATATCAAATTTTGAGTTTTGAAACAATTGATTTTGTAATAAAAGGGTGCTGAAATTGAACAACATTTGATTCACAATACTATTGCGTATTTTGCAAATCCCAAAAACTATCCCAAAAGAAATAATATCAAAGGGTAAGATAAAAGCAGAAACATTTTCATGTGATGGTCATTATTCAAAACCAAGTGATCAAGAACTTTGTGGTGTGAACCTCTTGCCATTGTGAAAACACGGGGGACTTGGAAATGGTGATCTCAGGACAAATTACACACTACTACTGATATGAATGGCAATTTAAATTTGGACCTCCTGATGTCATATTTTGCCTTCATTTTTTAATCTAAAATCAAGCACGACTTGAGTATAATTGATTTAATCTTTGTGGAAGGACCCTTGTAGAATCTTGAAAAATCATTGTATTCAGTCTGTATAGGATCTCAAAGACTTCAAATAATCTGACTTATATTTCAGGGTTGATCTTTGGTCAACTGGACCAGAAAGATTCCACTGTGACGGACTCAATTCAGTAGAATATAAAGTAGACAGCATACACTATAAGGAACATTATGTCCTCATTAAAATTGACATGCCTACAGATCTCAAGACATCAAGCATGTGCCTGGACTGTTTCTCAGGAGGATTGAAGACAAAGACAATACAGAAAGCTGTTAATACTAGTACTGTTAATAATACTGTTAATAGTGTTAATAATACTGTTAATAGTACTGTTAATAACACTGTTAATAGTACTGTTAATATAACTGTGTCTGAAATATGCAAAATGACATAGTATCTGGCATGTGCCTGAAATGTGCTTGAAAATTCATGCTAAAAATAACATGGCAAGGCACTAGATGTGTCTACTTACAATCTTCAAAGAAACTCATTATTATTAAACGGACTAATGTTGAAAATGAGAGGGCTTTGCAATATCTCTACCAAACTTGGGACAAAAAATTGAAAACTATGGGTGTATGAAATAAACAATTTACGGTTTAAAGTTTCCAATTATACATGATCGCCTTATAGAAATTTATGTTCTAGTGTATTTAGAAACAAGACAACTTGCATGGGGAACTTTTTCAAAGTGCGATAAAAATGTGTTCTTACCAGTATAAAGTCTGTAAGCTTTGCCAGATCGCACCCTCCCTGCCCTTCCCGCCCTCTGCTCTGCTGACGCTTGAGATACCTCTGTCACAACCAGAGATTCTGAAGTATCAATTCGCAATAACTATTACATGAAATATGATCAAAGGCGCGTCAAAAAATCCCGACCAGTTGTCATTTCTATTTACACAATGGAATTATCAACTGGTCTAAAGACCTTTAATTTATAAAATGCTTATATCATGATTAAAATAGAATTAACAGATTTAATAATCAATAGGTTTTTCCATTGGTAAGTTGCTTCTAGATTTTATACAATATTTAGATGAAAGAAGAAATGAGAGAATAATATATAACATGAAAAAGCTCACCTATTCCTGATTTTGGGTTGTATGCTTTAATTTTGACAAAGCCACAGTCAACTACTACAAAAACAAATATTCCTAATCATCATAACTGCCACATATGTTATAATTGTAAAATACTTCTAATGATGTGTATTATATGAAGTCAGTTTCGTATTTTGTCATTTCAAGGTTCTAGCACCCCCCCCCCCCAGCCCAAAAGTCTTCTAAAATCATGCAGTTTTCTACAATTTTCAGCATTGTCAAATGATTTTGAGCCAAAATTGTCAGATTTGAATCCCCTGGAATCTGACCCCTTTGACAAAACCAGGCTAATGGGGCCGAGGGTGTTATGTAACAATGTGTATATAATACAATACATTAGGAAATAAAACTGAAATTGAATTGAAAAAGACTCACTGTATACAATGCCATTAATTGTAATAGAGGCCTCAGCAATATTAGTAGCTACCACTATCTTCCGAACATTTCTTGGGGTTCTTTCAAATACTTTCATCTGGAAATTCATCACCAATACAAACTCACATTTATAGACCATATTATGGTTCAAAATCAATTGTGTTTCCCTAATTGTGCAGATTCTTGGAAAGCAGTTAATATAGTACTATACAAAAATAAATAATATATACCAAGTAAATGTGTGTACAGTAAAACTTGTCAAGTGGAACACCTCTATACTTTGTAACATGTAACACATTTGTAGATTGAACACCTTTTAGTCCTGCGACCCATAAACTTAATAGTAATTGCACCTCTTTAGTGGAACACCTTCTAGTTGGAACACTTTTTAGAATCAAGAGTGTTCAACATATACAGGTGTTACTATTCCAATATTTTACCGGCAATGTACCTGTTCTGAAGCAGGGAGACTGCCATACATCCTGGCAACCATCATTTTCATGCTATCCTTGCCCAGCTTCCTGGCTTCATCTCTGTAAGAATGTTCAGGAAAAAGATCTCAGAAAAGATTCTTAGATATGATTTCAAATCCATCAACTGAACAAGATTTCATGATTTCTAAAAACATTTTCTATTGGCCTTTAGTTTCAGAAACCTCAATTTTATAGACCTGAATATTCATAAACCCTAGTCTTCATACTCTCGTTTTCAAACTCCCTGGCTTCATCTCTGTAAGAATGTACTATTTACAGTACACACCGTACCTAATGAGCACTGATCAATCTTTTTAACATCAGCGATTATATAAGCACTGTATCTTTTTACTTAATAGACATATATTTTTCAACTTACATGAGTAAGCGTGTTACATGCTCCACTTCATCCATCCCAGTGAGGAAAGCTAAGACATCTCCCTCTGGTTCTTTATGGTGGATCTTCATGACTGTCTCAACAGTGGCTTTCACATAATCAGGCACAGGGCTGGAATATGAAGCTCAAGTTACATATAGAGTAATTGAACCTTAAACAGGTTCTATAATCCATCTCCTTTGCATATGTAGGAAAAATATTAATTCGAGTTCAGACTTGATATTAATTTTTCATGTTACAAATTAATAATATTCGATAACAATTTTAAAATGTCCGTATATGAAGAATCTATTTTGTGAAAATTGTCACTATATAGAACTACAGTTCACATGTACTGTGTATATCTAACTGCGCTTATTCAAGATAATTAAATACAATTCTCACTCTAATGAATAGAAGACATCTACTGGAAACATCCTGCCTTCAACTGTAAGGATAGCTGCTGTATCATGTCTGTAACAAGAAATAAACAATGTGTTATATGCATGTTCTGAGATGAAGATGTGTTATAAACATTGCAACACTAGCTTCAATGCAAAAGGCCAATTCGTTTGCATTCAGCACTGAAGTACAAAAATGTTCTTGACATTCATCACATTTAAATACATCAACCGCAAAACAAAGTCAATTCATTCGCATAAACTCAAGCCTAGAAAATGTGAGCATTCTTCAATTTTAATATTTCAGCTTCAACATACTTGGCATCTGATGTGGTGTTCAGGTTGAAGAAGTCACGGAACCTCTTTGCATCTAATGTTGCTGATGCTATGATGAGTCTGAGATCTTTCCGTTTCTTCAGAATCTACAAAATACATGCCCCACGTTATTTTATTAACAAAGTACAAACCATCACATTTCTTTGTACATTCATTCTACATTATTTTAACCTCTTGAGTCCCATGTTTGCCACCTTTTGACATTTTATTACATGCACATACCTACAATACAATTTTAGATCCTCAACTTAGTTAAATTAGACGACAGAGATCAATTTTACACATTTTAAAATGATTTTGGAGTAAAGTGGATGAAAATTGTTCAAATAAATTTTGTGACAGATTTTCTTGTCACTTTGGGTTTCGAGGTCATTTCTGAGGTGACAGGAAATCTCCTCACTCCAGGTAGTTAAGAGGTTAATATTACACATTCAGGAAATGTTTGTCTTCTTAAGTTATGGTTATTAGTGTCATGATGATGGAGAAATATTAATATTTAAATTCATCTGAAATGCACCTTTTTCAGCAAGCCCAGAGCTATATCTGTGTGAAGTGTCCTTTCATGTGCCTCATCCAGCATAATCACACTGAAAGTAGACAAGTTCAGAATACTCTACATGCAATTTATTATATCATTAAACACAATACCATTCGGTACAAACTTTGACCGTTAATTTGAATTGTTGACTGTGCAGTATGAGACTCGTAATCCTTGATTTTCAAACATCTGGTAGGTCAAAAATTCAAATTAACGGTCGAAGTTAGTACCGCGTAAATACAGGGTGATGCAAAAAAACTGACCCCAAAATCTCTTTTGGTGAATATATGATTCTGCTTTTTTGGCCATCCTGTATGCATGATTCTGTATTCTGTAAAAACATCTTTTAAAATCAGAATTCATTTGAAGTATTACCCAGAAATCAATTCATCACATGCATTAGGACAGTAGAGGGTTCTACCCAGAGTTCATTGCGTGCACCTAAATATTAAAATGTATTACCCAGAATTCAGTTCATTAAATGTTTCAAGTCAAGAGTGGGTTCTACCCAGAGTTCATTACCTGTATTTAGAGAGAAGGGGGTCATCCATCATATCTCGTACTAGCATACCATCAGTAAGAAACTGAAGCAAGAAGTTTTGTAAGTATTTAATGATAACAGTAATGATATGGAGAACAAGTTTTAATTCCTAATTCAAACATAATTTTTAGTAACACATCTGTGATGAAAAATCTATGAGGCTATAAACCATCTCATTCAACAAATAACACTATGATTAATGAACAAAATTAAAAGATAAAGAATAAAATTTTGTAAGTGGAACACCTTTGACACTTCTTGAGTGTTCCACTTACAGAGGTTCATTTAACATTAAGCACATTGGCAATGGGATTCTTAAGTGCTCAACTAACTGAGCCAAGGTGTTCTACTTTACAGGTTTTACAGTACTTATAGAAAGTATATGTTACAGTACATGTTTATTCAGACACAAAAACAGTAAGGCATACCTTAATTCTAGTGTTTACTTCATTTGTGACATCATCAAATCGTATGCAATAACCCACTTCATTACCCAGCATGCATCCTCTCTCTTCAGCCACACGTGTCGCCACCTATAATGAAAACAACAAGTTTACTGTTACTCAAATATACTTTTCAGACTTGATTTTCAACATATTATTAACAAGACTTATGTGGAGCCTGCATGCACAATCCATCGCCATGGAAACATAAAATTTTGATGACAATTGAATTTTGATTTATGGGCCTACACGCTTGACCAAAACGCGGGACAAGACAACTACAATATAGCACTTTGAAGTGTGATAAAAAGAATGGATCCTTTGGTCTATGTATATACCAATCATATTATACACTGATTTCACTTAACACATTACAACCCCTGATATGTTACCGTAACAGCAGCCACCCTCCTAGGTTGTGTTACTGCAATTACGCGTCCCTCAGCCGCCCATCCTGCTTCAAGGAGGTACTGAAATAACAAGTTATTTATAGTTACCATTTTTTACAAATGGACCATCCGTAATGTTGCAAAAAGCTTGATTAATGAAAAATTACTGTCTCCAGTAACTTGTCCAGACAACCCTAATCCTAATAACCAAATCAATAAATTGCATACCAGTAAGTACATGCAGGTTAAATTGCATTACTTATTGAAAAAAATTGATTTACTTATTTCAAGGACCTGCATTCAGTTCAAAAGATTTAATGTCAAAATTATTTACTGGTATGTAATGTCATAAAATTCCTGAATAAATAAAGGACGCAGAGCCCCTGTGCTCCCACATCCTCCAACTGCAGCAGTTCAAACATCATCCACTTTAGAATAGATGTAGGATGGTGCTCACATGGAGAGAATTCCATTTCTTTTTATACAAAATATCAGAATATATCATTTTCAGGGATATACCACTCCCTGATTTAAAATTCACACATAGCTAGGCAAGGTGTGTCAGATTCAAGCCAATCCTAACCTAACACAGTATTTCACATAACTGCAATGCACTATAGAACCAACCAACCAACCAACCACAACCATAAGGTCACTCATTGAAGGGTTGTCAAGGTAACAAGCTGACTCTACAAACTGATATTGATGCTTTGCCAACTTGACCCTTGCAAAAAGTTTCACTGAAAATATGTTCTTTTAGTGACCTTGTTCTTACTTTATTACTACAAGGGTATATTAATATGATCCTTAAGGTCAATGATTTAAATAACATGAATGATAAGGCAGAGAATGCAATAACACCTCAATATTTATTACCTGAGGAATTTGTGTACTTTTGCCGCATCCTGTCTCCCCTACTATGACAACAGTCTGGTAGGTTTCCACAAGGTACAGGATGTTGGTTCTATGCTGGAACATAAACAAAACTTCATATAAAATATACTTTATAAATCACTCTCAGTGATCTCCCCAGGATAAATTCTCATTTTCACAATTCAGACCAAAATTGGTCAAAATATGCCAATTTTTCATGATTGTTCTCATTTTCAAGTGGGTGGAAATGGATTTTCAGGAGGGCGCAAGCCTATTTTCAAAATCTCAAGTGGGTGCTGCGCCCACTTGCTGGGGAGATCACTGACTCTTGTTAGCTTGTAATGACCTAGGGACCAAGAGTGCCTCGTAGGGTGATCGCAAAAGCAAGTGTGATAAATCCAACGCTCGGTGTGAGAATTGATACCCAGGACCCTCAGATCCAAAGCACTCTACAAACTTAGCGATCGAAGCTTGAGCTTGGATGGCCATGTTTTAGCAGCAACTTAACCGCTATTCAGGCCATTTCAGGACCAAGCTACAAATTTTTTCAGGTACTGTACATATGCTGTATAGCCAGTGTCTGTTTGAAATTTAAGATCTGTTTATTTCTTGAACTCTGGTGGTACTTCATTGGGTTTCATAATTTCAGGAAAATAAATAAACTGAAATACAGGAATGATGATATAAAATGTAACATAAAATTTGAATCATATTTAAGAAAAAACAGTCTGACATCAATTTATGATTTGCGATCACTGGATGAATTCTATCTTGTAATGACGTCACAATTAGGGCACACTGCTATATCTTTTTGATTTTGAGAGATTATCTTCTGTATTTCATACTTTATTGATTTATTTTTCACGAAAGTGTTCGATTTGACTAGATCAACATTTATTTTAAGCACATGCCAAGTCTAAGATCTTACTGACATGATTTAGATAGCGGTTATGCGCCCCCGATTTTGAAAAAATAGGCATCGATGTTTAGTATGAATTTCACCGAAACTTCACACATATAAAAATATACTCATGATCTAGTAAAATCGGCATACCTGGTAAATATCCATCCACCGGTTTTCATAAAAGAAACAAGAAAATTTTTAGCTCAAAACTGCCACGTGTCCGCCATTTCGTCTCTCCATCATGTCTTATATCATTTCTATATGACATCACACCAATAAGACGAAATACATGACAACAGTATCCATAAACAAAATACCTGAATTCTGATCGCAAAAGGTCAATTAGCCCTAAATCCCTCTGATCCTACCATTTGCATTATCTTGACTTTGCATCTCTTAAAGAGAGCTATAGTTTGGTAGTTTGTAACCAGACTCTGTGTGCAGGGTATCTGATCCTGAAATTGTCAACTGTTCCACAAATCTTACCTTAAATACAGGTAGTCTAGTTCGCTGACTTTCAATAGACATAGACACATTGGGATTGTATATGATAGCAGTACTTTCAGAAGATCTGTTGCGCTCTTCTGATAACAACTCTCCAGGCTTTTCACTCCCTAAAATAATGTAGATTATAGGGTGATAAGCATGCAATATTACATGTATATGGATGGAATATAAGATTCTATCTCAAACATTCAACAAGGCATTAAAATCATATGGTGACATAAAAACATCTAATGGAACAATCTTCCCCAAACTGTAATAGACACCACAGATATAAATCAATTCAAGAATGGAATTGATAAGCACCTGATGAAACAGAAATTTCTTCACCACAACTAAACCCATGTCCAGTGAGCAATTAAACAACGCCCCCCCCCCTAACATGACATGAAAATGATACATAAAAAGATCTTGATTATACAGGACTATCCTTCTTTCCAGAATTATAGATATAGAAGAGGGGGGGGGGGGGGTCAGGCCATGACTTGGAAGATGACTTTTAAGGCACAAAAAAGTGCTGACTTAACCTTTGTATCAGGAAATAGAAGACTATTACAAGAGCCAGTCCCTTTAAAACTAGGAGGAGATGTGATTCCTAGTTGCACCAAACACAAACACCTGGGCTTAGTACTTGATCGAAATCTAAACTTTAATTCACATGTTGACCAACTCATAGAGAGAGTAATCTCTCTCATGAGACCATTGAAAAAGTTAACTAAAATGCTAAACAGTAAATACCTAGAGAATATATATAATTCATTTATACTACCACATTTCGACTACTGTGATACAATATATGATAAGGCATCAACTTCAAAACTATTAACATTGGATAGACTTCATTATCAAGCAGCTTGCCATGTGTCAGGAGCAATACACGGTTCAAACACATCGAAAGTTTTATCATTACTCAACTGGAAAACGTTAGCTTCCAGGAGAGAAGAACATCTTAAAATTTTTGCTTTCAAGGCTAGATACCATTGTTTCCCTCCTTTCATTTGTGATTTAGTTAGTTCATACGAGAATATTCCAAATCGGCCCCTAAGACAACCAAGGCATTATAGAATACCCTTTCCAATCAGTAATTCGTTCAAAAAGTCAACCATTATCAGGGCTATGACCCTGTGGGATGACATACCATATGAGGACAGGAAAGGCCAACCAATATCTAGATTCAAAAGGTTAGTAAGAGGAAATATGAGCCCTGACTCCAGAGTATCCACTACTAAAATGAATATGACAATGCCAAGGAAAATTTAAATTCTGTTCAATAGATTTAGAGCTGGACTGATTCTAAAAGCACATTTATATTCCCATAACTTTGTGACAGTAAATGACCCTTTCTGCGTATGTGGTGACATACAACAAACAACGCATCATTTTTTATTAAACTGCCCTCTGCTGCAACAAGAAAGATGCACTCTCCTAGCAGGACTAAAAACCTTAGGATTTTTCAATCGTTTCCAAAATTTAAACTCTCATGAAAACATTCAATTTTTATTATTTGGAGACAGAAATCTCACTGTAACTGATAATGAACAAATTATTCATATAGTTAGCCATTACATCTGCCAGGCTCTTGATATTTTAGATTAACCCCCCCCCCCTGAAAGCCTCTAACATTCCCTGCCATTAATATTATGTACCTTATCTATTATATTTTCATTGTTTCCATTTTTATATGTTTTGTATATTGCCGACAATGTTGAAAAACGTAGGCAATAATATTGTAATGTATTTTATGTTATATTTGGAATAAATGAGAAATGAAAAAAAAAAAAAAAAAAAAGGCCATGCCCCACCCCCTTGGATCCGCAAGTTCTGCTTTAGGCTATATATTGTATATAACGTCTAAATGCAAAATTACAAATTTTGATGAAAATTCTTGGTGAATTACTGTATAATTCAAGCTCTTTCTTACCTGGTTTCCAAAATTTTGGAGTGAATGAACTCATTTTGATTCTCGATTATTTAGACTAGATTTCAACTAAACATGCTGTGTTGAAGTACTAGGTGTAAATATGCTGTTGGCCAATTCTTGATATAAATAAAAGATACAGTAACTACTGGAGGAAACAATATCCACGTAGACAGGCATCTATGGATTCAATTCATTTATATTTTTCAAAGGTCCATCCATGGGCGATAATAGAGTAAAACGTCGACGTTTTATCCAATTAAAAAGTAATGAAACATAGTTGCCGTCTAAATTGCTGTGCCTCGCTATCGATACATATCCAGTTATTCACAAATAGCGGAACAAAGTTGTAAACTTGTAATATGACTAAGATATAACGTAAATAATTAGCAAGCAATTTTTTCAAAATATTTACGTTGCCTCGTTTTGAAATGCAGGTCAGCGCGGGGTTGTACTAAATACCACCTAGGTGCCCCACACCTAGGTGTCCCCATTGAAATGCCTTACTGGCATATTTTACTACTTTATTTCAAGATAACATTTTTCCAAGTGTTATTATGGTACATAATAAAGTATTTACATGGAACTTGTGTAAATATTTCTGTTTGTTTATGATATTTTTATTGTCTTGAAAATTTTGATCGATGTCGAAAAAGTCATTTGTCAGAATAATATTTCATTATTTGCTCACTATGAAATGCTACAAAGTCACTATTTTAGCAACTTAATATATATATTTCAAATATAAATGCACACTTTAGCATAAATGGTGTTTTATTACTACAAATAATTAACCATACATATGAGCAAAATTTTCCAGGTGCCCATTTTTCTAACACAATAAAACTTTTAACATTTTATTTTCGAATCTTCTTTGCTATATTCTCGACTACAAATAATTATTTCAAGCCTATTAATGTCAAGTTAATATGACAAATGAGATAATACTATATTTAAAATGTGTACGTGGTTTTAAATGGAATTAGAAATCCAGGTGCCCAAGGGGACACCTAGGTGGTATTTAGTAACACCCTCAGCGCGCATGTCAGAAATAAAAATTCATTCTCAAAATGTTTTCACTCCCATAAAATGACTAATAGCATGATATAAATACGCCCTGAATGAGGATTTACAACGATGGTGTGAATAACTTATACCAAACATGATGAAGAAGCTAGATTTGAAAGGATTAAAAGCTTCATTTCACAGAAAATCGAAAACAGGAAGTCAAGATATGAATTATGTTCCTGAAAATCAAAATAAAAGTGATCTTCCAGGTTGGGAGAGAGATTTTTCTCCTGATTTAGAGCGTTGCGACGTTCGTGGATCTACGGTGATAGAGGCTAATGAAGTGTCCAGTGATAGTAATCAAGACATTTGGAAACCTAGGGTTGTAAAATCCAAGTCAATAGACGTTGTTCCATTACCACGCAAAAAGGAAAAGAACGGTTTCTTTCGGACGCTCCGTCGTAAACTGAGCACTACATTTCAGCACAAACGAGATGGATTAAATTCTGATGATGAAACACATGTGCATAGGTTTGAAAACTATGGACGAATGTCTAAAGCAAAGGGTGGAAGTTTACGAACCGTTGTTCGTCCACTACATACTCCAGTTAGGTCAGCTCACTCAGAAGATTGCATAAATATTTCAGGGTCTACAATAGACACCTATCCTGCTGTTGAATGTGAACCACCAAAAGTTGTTGTAAGTCGGTCACCAGATATTTTGGAAAACTTTGAAATCACCGAACCAGGTCCCCCAGTTTTACCAAGACCAGATCTTATAAACAAAACCCCTTATAGACCATCAAAATCTAAATCATTACAACTTCATGACAGTGGTAATGTGAAAAAACAAATACATGACCGTCCGTATGAAACATATGAAAAATCAGCTTTATCAGCAGTATATGATCAGTCACAAGAAACAAACTCACCCAAAGTATGGAGCTTTACTGCGGAACTATATCGATTATCAAAATCTGGATGGTATTGGGGACCAGTCACAAGAATTGAAGCGGAAGAAAAACTATTAGATCAACCCGATGGAGCTTTTTTAGTGCGCGATAGTTCTGATGAGCGATATTTGTTGAGTCTTAGCTTCAGATCATATGGACGGACATTACATACACGAATTGAACACTGTAATGGTATATTTAGCTTTTACGCTCAACCTGAAAGTGAGGGCTATGACTCAATTGTGGATTTAATCGAGCATAGCATGACTGATTCCCAGACAGGAATATTCTGTTACTCTCGTTCACGAGGCCCTGGATCTCCCTCATTTCCTGTACGCCTCACTAAACCTGTGTCACGGTTCGACGAAGTACGCTCTTTACAATACCTCTGTCGATTTGTGATACGTCAAACTACGAGACTTGACCATATTCAGAAACTACCATTGCCCAATAGAATAAAGGGATGGCTTGAGGAAAGCCAGTATTAAGGTAGAGGGAGCGGAATTAAGTCAGCCAACATGGCAACTTCGTCTACCTTGAAATCATCTAGGTCATCACAATCTCCAAAATCGGCATAATGTGGCATCTCACTAACTCTATTTACCTATGAGTATTTATAAGTAAATCACAATCACCAATAGATTGAACAGGTTTTAAATACCTGATATTTGAAATGCATCAACATTTCTTGAAAGAAGAATTTGGTGAAGCCCGGAATATCATGTATGATAGGAATCAAAATTAAGATTATTGTGTTGTTTTTCTAGCTCATATTATTTATAAAATGTTGTTCCTGAATGTAACATACAATGTATTGGCAAAATGGTGCTTCAACAATTACAGTGTCATACTATACACCAATTTAAAGTATTTAGCTAAAATATGTACATGTTCTGTGTAGAGTGTCTTTACAGTGAATACCAGGATTTTCCAGCAAATAGACCATGGTCTTATAGGTGGGTAGTTATGAGACTAATTCTGTGTCATGTAATACAGTACCTATGTTAACATAGAACTTATAAAATCATAGTCTTCTAGCTTGAATCTCCTGTACTGGTTGTTACGTATATAAACATGTCTATATGTATTGCAATGTGAAGTTCATTGAGTCATCTGTATTTAACCATTATAAAGTGTTCTCCCCTAAAAAATGCCCATGGGCATTATATTATACGAACACTAAATATTTTTTTCATCAACATTTGGTTATAAAATTTCAATGTTATCAGAAAAATTTTTGATGTGCCTCATGTTTTTGCAACTTTTGATTTTCAGTACAGTAAAACCTGTATTTCCGAACACTTGGCTAATTGAAACACTTTGTAATCTGAACACTTTTTTCGGTCCCATTTTCGAAAAATGAACAGTCAAATTTGAAAAATTAACATGAACCCTTCGTGAAATATCACGTTTCATACAAAATTGCTCAAATATTTTCACTGTTTCATTAGAATATCCAAACATTTGAACTGTTGAATGGTCTTACTCATATTATGTCTTTTAAACAGGACTAATGAGTTATTTAAATCAGATTTTCAAATTATTGGTATGCCTTGGTCAATAGAACTGTAAATATTTATTGAGAATGCAAAAACCTTGAAATGTGAACACCCACTATTAAATCCAAACTCTTTTAGCCCTTTCGAATGACATTCGGCTTAGACAGGATTTACTGTATTTATTAAGCTAAGTACTGTAAAACCTGTACATCCAAGTTTTGCCTATTGACTTCCTTGTTAATGAAACTTTGAAGTGTGAACACCTGCTAAAATCTGAACACATGCCTTTTGGACAGTCTGAGTGAACAGCCACAAACAGGAACACTTTCTAATGGGTTTACCTTTGAGGGGTTTTACCAATTTACTAAAATGACAAAAAGTCTTTAAATGACAAGAAAAAATTGACAAAAAATGACAAAAAGTCTTAAATTGAATAAATGAAAAGTTTTACTGTGGTTTATCAAAGTTTAAGCCTTGCAAAGTTCTCCAGATTTTTAAGCATTCGTGTCTGAAAGTTCAAACTGAAAGTGAAATCTAATGATAACCTAAGTTACATTTGCCCAAGTCCTATATTTTGCCTTGCCTATATAAATTTGCCTCATCTATTACAAATTTTGCCTCACCTACTTGAGGTCAAGGCAATGCCACTGTGTGTATCTAGCTTTTTGTCACATGTGAACATTGAGAATTTGATTATATAGTTGATGGATATATATTTTAATATGGTTGCTGAAATATTTAGCTTATCTATTGAATAGCCTTATGGTCCAAATATGAAAAAAAGATAAAATGAAATGGAAAAATTTCAGAAAGCTTGAAAATATAAAAAAATAAAGAGAGCTTGTTGTACTGTCTGTGTGTAGCTATGTGCCATTTTGTTTTAATAAAATTATATGATACAACAAAAACGTATAGCAGCTTTAGTCTTTAACTTATTGAACGACCCTTGAAAAGCATTGAGCTTATCCTGTATAGTGATACTATGACCTTGATAAAAATGTACTCCTATTTTGTTTGGTGGTTGCTTTAATCATGGGCTTTCAACTAGGGCTTTCAACTAGAATAATTAAAAGCCCATGCTTTAATATAGTCCAAGCTTGTTTTCAGGCAATCTTTTCATGCTTTGTTTACATCATGAAAATATTTCAAGGGTACCTATCTTCAAATTGTTTATATTAAACAATTAAACAAAGAGGATTGGCTGCGTATCTGCTCCCAGGACAAATATAGTCCTGGCATGGGATTACCAGCTTTAGCATCCTTTTGCAATCTTCCTTTGACTGACAATGACCCTTCTAGTAATATCATTCCCAAATTGGCTCATATGTGCTCCCTGTTTTAAGATTACAGTTTTTCTCATAGGTTTCAGAAGGTCATGGTTATGGGTTATGTCCAATCCCAAAGTGGATGATTACAGAATAAATTCTCTTTCATCTAGAATTTTTTGCCTCCCAACATCACATAATTTGTGCTATAGATTTAAGGCCAATATAAAGATGGCAGCATTGGTACAATTTAGTAGTAGAAATTATTATAATGCCCATCCCATTAGCCTATGCTTTTATTTGAACACAGGGCCAACATTGGTCCAATGAGACCCACTTTATAGATTCCAAGTAAAAAAGGAAGTAAATCTCAAACAAAACATTGTTTCATGTTTCTAATTTATTTTCATTCACCTCATAATAAATAACATGACACATAAAATGACCTGAACAAGTGTCGACTTGTGGCATAATTTAGTGGTTTGAATTGCATATGTTAACAATTTACAAATAATGCTTCAAAAATTCACAGACTACCAAAAATCACTTGATACAGAAGCTATTAACACTGTTCCACAATTAGTAACACTGTTCCACAACTAGTTACATTGATGTATACATCAAAGAAACAAAATGGAGGGACTCCTTGAATCTAGTTTGGTAAGATTTCGGTAAGACTTTGTTTTCACAATTTTAACCTAATTATAAACCGAGTTGTACATTATAATTTGGCACAAAGTAAGATGATATAGAATAGCTTTATAAATGCTTTCGATTTTGGATTTGTTCTTAAATGAAGTCAAAATCCATACAGACAAGGCATCAACATGCAAAATGTCACCACCTGCCATTTGTTACAGCCACTAAATATATAAGTTACTGCTTAAAAAATTAGTTCCAGACTGAAAGCATTTTCTAAAACTAGACTCAACTATAACTTTTTGCCAAATTATAATTGGAAGCTTGACATATTACATATATAAATAGGTTAAAAAATTGAGACAAGGCATCAACATGCAAAATGTCACCACCTCCCATTTGTTACACCATAATTTGTTTCCAATGCCGAACGCCCTCCACAAAAAAGTTATAGACCATAACAATATGTAACCACTCGTTGTGGTGACATAAAAACAATTTTTTTTTACCAATTTCATTTATTATGATTTTAAATAACTTGGGACACAGATATACAGATATATGACACATTTTTGTATAAAAACCAAGTTGACTTGGAGACATGAACCAGATTATAAATACTTTATGGCCTAAAGAAAGAACCATGATAAAAAATTGAGTAGCACATTATATACGAGACATATATATATATATACAGTGCAAGGAATCTTGCACTCACATCCGCCATCGATATTTATCAAAAACTGCATAAAAATTTATGGACTTTTTTAAAGTATGAAGAGTAAAAGTGCTCTCTGTACCCCCTGGCTCAGTTTGACTGCATTGGAAGAGTACTTGACCCATGGGCTCTGGCCCAAGCAATGCTATACAAATGATGTTGCCACATGTCGTGTCCTGTTTATGGTTGAATCAAGACCCACAAACAAAATGTACCACGCAACTATCAATGATTCACCATCAAAATTAGGTATTGAAAAACATGTATATGTTTGTCCTAAAAAAATCCATTAGAAGTGCAGTAAAACCTGTTGTAATGTTGTAATGCCACTGGAACTGGCCATAAGTGTTCAAATTAGAAGGCATTCACACAATTAGAAGTTTCTTATTTTGTGCGTCAATGGGAGATTGGGACTGGAAAAGTGATCATTTTTAGAAGTATTCAGAAGAGAGGTGTTCAGATATACAGGTTTTGTTGTACTTCTTGGAGACAGATACACTGTAAAGATGCACCCATAGACCTAGTTATGTTGTATTGAAATGTTGATAAAATACTACATCTGGACATACTGACCAGACTCACTACAGTCTAGGACTATATGACAATAGATGTACACCAGGCCTGTAGCCAGGATTTGCTAAGGGAGGGTTCACTTCTTGAAAAATTTCAGGGGGTTCACTTTTGACAATTCTTGTCCAAAAATGGCCAAAATAACTTTAAAAAGTGTTCAGAATGTTGAAAAACTGCATGATTTTGAAAGAATTTTTGACTCAAACCCATCGACCCCCCTGGCTACGGGCCTGTACACTGTATATAATGAGACCTCTTCAGATGGATAAACTTCTCACAATACACATCACTTCAAAACTCACATGTGAGTCAATATATAGGGTGGTTATCAACTACATGTTGATAAAAGAACTTGAATGTGAACATGTAGAATTGTGATCCTATTATAGTGATAAGTTTTCCTTTTAATACTACTTCATAAAATTGCTCACTTGAGTTTAAAGGTGTAAGGAAAATAAGATTTATGGAAAACCCAATTTAGAGGTTGGGACATTTCTTCCTTGGGACGTAATATTACATATTTACACACAAGTTCTCTGTGTATTGTAGAAATGCATAGTTAAAGATGGAAGATAAAACCGCCAAATGGCCATTATGAGATTTACTCCAAGACATGACATGGCTATGAAGAAGTCCGCCAAAATATTATTTCTCCATTCTTGGCACCTGTGACGAGTCCTCTACAAGTTTCACTATCTGAGTTTGTTTCTAATTTCCTATTTGAATCTAAGTCATCTTCAGAGTTTTGTCCTTCAAGATGAAGACAAGTTACTGTTGTTTTATGAGCATTTATTTGTGTTATTAGTTTGTTTTGTAAAATGTCCCATATTATGATGTCACCAGCGTTGCTACCGCCAACCAGAGTGTTGCCATCCCAACACAAACACCTGCAATGGAAAACAAATGTTTTAAGGTGAGAAAATAGAATGAGTAATTCTGTTAATATTTCTACATGTAGACTTGCATACTGATGTTATATTTGGATTCTTCATGTGTTAGTCTTTCATACTAATGTATTTTAAATCAAACACTGTTACATGTCAGAAAAAATTGCTCCTTTACAATTGTCATATTAAGACAAATACTGAATAATACATTTCTGTATTAGCATGATCGTTTTGTAGATTGAACCAAATATTTGTTAAATAATTTGAAATTAAATTGAATTTTATGAAACAAAAATTGATCATACCACTGACCTCAAAACAAACATTAAAAATTTAAAACCCTCAGGTAGTAAAACATTGTAAAATGATTTTTAGCAGGGATCATTTTCATGGTTAAATCAATCTTTAGATGCCATGTTTAAAACCTGACCTGATTTCATCCTGAAAAGATTTGGCAAATATCTCTGTCCCGCTATTTATATCAATTATTTTGATATAGGTGTCAACACTAGTTGATATGATCTGTTGGTTATCCTGGTTAAACTGGACTTGATGCACCTCCTCTGTGTGAGCTGTAAACAAAGGAGGTAAGAAAGTACCAAGAAAAAACATTATACAAACAAAGGGTGATTGTAAAGATCATGGAGTGTTGCAATTTCAACAGTGAATTCAAAGAAAGGTCAAGAATTAAACGTACAAGTACATGTATACTCTAGTATATAGTATATAAGTTGAATTTGCAACATGACCCTTCTAGAAGGCTTACATGTATGTCTGTAGCAATCAAAAGATTGCACATTTTTATAATGTTACTCAACGATGAGGTTTATTATATGGAAGTCAGAGGGGACTGATTCAAAAGGTCTATTTACTGGAAGTCCCATACAATAATTTGGCTTTCACACAAGGAATTCAAAGAGGATCCACATTGCTGTTTACTTCATGGGACCAAAAGTGGACTGAAAGGTAACCTATTGTAACGACTGAAAGTTAACCTGTTAAAGTAGGTCTGACAGGGGAATAGACTGGGCATTTACCTGGTATCTGTTGAAGGGGTAAACAGGCAAGAATGTCCCATATGTAGATTGTACCATCCTTTGTACCAGAGACACAAAGAGTTGCTCCTCCATTGATGTCTATACAGGTCACTCCTGCCTCATGGTCCAGTTCATCCTGTAATATATCCCATAATGCATTTATTAATAAAAATCAAACGATAATTAATGAAAAAATAATTTCAAACTCAGCATATTTTTTCCTTTTAGGCAATATAGCCATAAAGTGATTTCTGAAAAAGGTTAAATAAAATGTCCCATAATGCAATAATTTTTTTATATAAATGTAAATACTGTACAAATACCATAATGCAATTTTAGGCAACAATAATGGAACTTACCACAGGGTCAGCCTGACCTCCACTTTTAGCCCCTGTTAAATTCCATAGCTATAAAACAAGAGTATGAATATGTTGCAACAATAATATAAGTTATTGAATGATTTGAAGTGCAATACAGGATATATTCTGCTTGAGAAAGTCTGTATTGGAACAAGACGAAGTCGAGTGCCAACAGAATATCGAGAGTAGAATATATCCTGTATTGCACTTCAAATCATTCTATAACATTTTTATCATGTGATCTTAGGCCAATACAATTTACTTAGGAGATAATCCCCAGGAAATATTCTGTATTCTCTGTATTGCTATCTCAGTAGCAATACAGATTGGTGCATCACAAGAACTGACCAATCAGAGGGCTTAATTTTACAGACCATGCGATAAGGCAATATATTGGTCAAAATTTAGGGCTTAAGGGATTGTACATTGATCATTTTTGTAGATCAGCTAGTTGCAATCCAACGGAACTTTGAATTTACCCGACCAATACAATACATTTATCTTTACATCTGTTTCTTGGTTAGTCCTCTATTGTATTTCAAATTAACCTACAGTATGACATGGAACCATGAAAATTATGACAAATATATTTGAAAATTCAAGGTAAAGTCAACTGTCTTGAAACAAATACAAATGGCTAAAACATTTAGTCAAGTGCATTATTGATTTAACATTCAAAAAGTGCATACCTTCACTGTAGAGTCCCACGAGGCAGAAATGAGAGTATTATCTGAAAGTTTCAGTGCAGATATGGCATCATCGTGAGCGTAGACAGTGTCTAGTATTCTCCCATAGTCAATACTGTAGAAATAGCTGAAATATAACATACAAATACATGTATGAGCAAGTGTGACTGAAGTTTTAGTCTTTGAGTTTGTGAAGTACAACTACCTTTATATCTGTACATAATTTATCAGACGAATCACTTAATCATAACATTTCATTGTCAAATGAGTGAAGTTATTTGTCTAGGTCTTGTCACCATAGCAACTTACATGTTGTTATCCCAGCTGCCAACGACAACAGTATTAGTGTGTGGTATCAACACGCAACATGACAGGGCCTGAAAATATTATGAATTATAGGGCATATAATATGCAACATGACAACATATTGTGAATAGGGCATATGAATAATATGCAGCATATTATGAAAATGGCATATAAATATGCAAAATATTATGAATATTATAGGGCATATGAATAATATGCAGCATATTATGAAAAGGGCATATGAATAGGCAAAATATATATGAACATAATGCATATCCAACATATACGAATGGGGCATATCAACATGCAAAATATGAAATATAGGGCATGCAACATATTATGAAAAGGGCATAGAGGGCACACATCTCAGCAGTAAACAATTCACATAAATCAAAACGCTAATTTATAATTCGTTGAAAAATGTGTTGTTTCTCATAAGATAAAATTTGATGTTTAAGGTCAAGAACAAGGTCTTTAGTTGGGCTACAGTTGTATAGAATAACAATATTCTCAGTCAAAGTTGGATGCTATAAGTCTTATAAAATGCAGCCAATTTTATTAATGATTTTGATCTTAGGTAGCACTCTGTTTCATATCAGTACAGCAAGGAAGAATGTTCTGTTTATCTTAGCTGATGACATGAGGCCTGAGATAGCCGCACTGAGGGACAATGACAGTCCAAGTCAGATGCACGATAAAATGTACACACCTCATTTGGACGCATTCACTGAACACAGTGCCGTTTTCAGACGGGCATATGTACAACAAGCAATCTGCGGCCCAAGTCGAGCGTCCTTCATGACAGGGCGACGTCCAGATACAACACGCGTGTATAACCTTCAGGACTATTTCAGAAGAGTCGGGGGTAATTTCTCTACTATTCCCCAGTATTTTAAGGAGCGAGGCTACAGAACTCTTGGCATGGGGAAGATTTTCCACTCGGGACAATCTGCTGGTGGAAATAATGATGCCCCATCATGGTCCAGTGATGAAACATTTTTCCATTCTCCAAGTCGACGTGGTTATTGGAACCCGATTAAGAAAGAGCATTCCTGGTACTCGATCAACACTACCCTCGAGAGGGAGCACCCTATTGGAGATCAAGAGGTGACGGATCATGCAATCTCTGTCCTACAACGTCTCGCCCCTAAGGCAATCAGCGGGGAGGAGAATTTCTTCATGGCTGTTGGGTTCTACCTGCCCCATTTACCATTTATATTCCCCGAAAGATTCCTCCAATACTATCCAATCAGTGACATCAAACAACCGTCCAATCCCTATGCTCCATTGAACATGCCAGACTATGCATGGCACTCAAATGGTGAACTCCTTAATGGCTATGGTGACATCAAAAGTCTGAACATTTCTGGGGCTCCGAACACAACATGGCCAAGTCAACTAGTGTTGGATCTACGAAGAGCATACTACGCATCAATCAGCTATGTCGATTCCTTATTTGGTCAAATCATGACAGAGCTTGATAACCTTGGATTGCGTAATGATACAATTGTGATGTTTGGAAGTGATCACGGCTGGCAGTTATACGAACATACTGCGTGGTGTAAACACACCAATTTTGAATTAGCCACTAGAACGCCATTAATGTTCCGAGCCCCTGGCCTGACAGACCAAGGCATAATGTCTGACCACCTGGTAGAATATGTAGACATCTACTCCACCCTGGTCGAGCTAGCTGACCTTCCTGCTGCCCCTCTCTGTCCCGAGAACCCCGCAGCAATCCAAGAATGCACTGAAGGCACAAGTCTTGTACCGATCATGAAGAACTCGAGCCTACCTGGTAAACCTCGGGTATTCATGCAGTACCCCCGTTACAGGCAGTTTGGTCGCGTGATGGGTTACAGCATGCGTACAGACAAGTATAGGTATACGGAATGGGTGCGATTCAATGAGACGGGATTTGGTCCTGATTGGACTGCTCAAGAGGCTGTTGAGTTGTATGACCACACTAATGACCAAGAAGAGAATGTAAACAGAGCTAATGATGCGGAGTATGCCTCTATAGTGGAACAACTGAAGGGTCATCTACATGAAGGATGGCGACCTGTGGCCAATTAGCTACCACTGAACTTCAATCACTGACTGTTAAGAACTATGATGAAATCTGAAGTGAAAATATGAGGTTTAATTGAATCAGAAAATCTGAACGATTGAAATGAATTGAGTATACATGTAATCTGATTTTTGTTTTGATTCTACACAAATCTAAGTTTACAGAAATTGACATTTTTTCAATTTAATCTGGGGAAATAAAGTCAAAGGTAGTTATATACTTCCCTTAGCCTTTTCCTCATCTTTTCATTTTTGACTCATCTATTCATTTTGCCTCATCTATTCATTTTGCCTTGTCTATTCATTTTTGCTTCATCCTATTCATTTTTTGCCTCGTGTTATTCATTTCTGCCTCGTCTATTCATTTTGCCTCGTCTATTTATTTTTGCCTCGTCTATTCATTCTTGCCTCATTTGTTTTTGCCTCATCTTTTCATTTTTGCCTCTTCTATTTATTTTCGCCTATTCTATTCATTTTAGCCTCAACTATTTATTTTCGCCTCTTCTATTCATTTTTGCCTCATCTATTCATTTTTGACTCATCTATTAATTTTTGCCTCATCTTTTCATTTTTGCCTCTCCCAATTTTATATCATAGCTACACCTCTGCAATCCTCCCCATTCTTACCATGTTTGAGAGATTCACACTTCTTAGTTGTTTATTGTCTTGGACGGAGTACATCTTTAGAAGAGAGTCTGAAAATAAATACAAAACTGACAATCAGTGAGACTCATGATCCAAATTGATTTATGGCTTTGGTGTCCAGTACTAAATCCTTATTTATCATATCGATAAATTGCAAATCTTTTTTCTGCATTAATTGTATCATTGGTTTGTTAATTGCTCATAATTTTTCATAAAGTTCTCTTCCTTAAAATTTGACTGACTGTGTATGAATTACAAATATGGTCAGAGCTTAATAGAATACTTGGTTTATTCTTCAATTTTCAAAAATTAACAAATTCATGTCTATTTCCTAGTTCGTAAAACAAGTCTAATTTAAACACCACTGGGACCAGGCATAAGTATTCATATTTCAAAATGTCACCACCTGCCATTTGTTACAGATGCCAGATGCCAAACTCTGAATGCCAACTGACAAGACACCATCACAAAAAGGTTGGAGACTATTATTACAATATATCACCACTTGCGGTGGTGACAATAAATGAAACAAATAATGCATTCATAATCATAATGGGGAATCTGTTATGCAGGTTTTACAAATCATACCTTGTGCTACTGAGATCAGAGATTTCCCATCTGGGGTCAACATAACATCAGCAATACACCTACAATCATAAGAGGATGGTATCTTACCTTGTATAATAGGATAATAATGATTTTTTGTTATTTAAGAAATATAGACTGAAGAGCAGGGGTAATATCGTTGAATACACCCCGCAGGTTCTCTGGGTTCGAAAGCTTTTGTGCCTGGCCCTAAGTGGTGTATTTGATGATATTACACCTGCTCTGAGGTCTATATTATGATTATGAAAACTCACCAAAATGTTTTGAATTTTCATTATGCTCCGCCATTACTACAGTCCATCGTTATGATGTCACACATTACACGTATTACCAGGCGTATTGTTCGCGAATATACCCCGGGTGAAATGTTAACTTTGTTTACAGTTTATGGAAAGCATGAATACAGTCATGTTCGAAATCTCACATAAATAACCCTAAAATATTTCTAATTCTGATGTCATCTATCTTACAAAGCCAATCTGCAACAGTACTAGTACCGCATGATACCATACTCTTAATGTGCAGATTGGGGATGTACACAATTAATATATTATGACATAAACTTTCTTTAATTATTCCCATTAAGCACCACACCACAGAATTTTCAACAAGAGGGGAGACTAATATATCTGTCTGTCACCCCCTCTTAACAACAGATAATCATCATGTTGATGGTGTCACTTTAAAGGCCACGCCCCTTCAAAATCTTGTCAACTTTCATTATGGAACTTAATATGATTTAGTAATATTGAAGATGGTCAGCTTGACAATAACATTATTAGACAACAGCAATGCCAAAGCGACGGCAAATCCCATTGAACATTTGCTGGCATTTTTACAAATAAAATATATAGCAAATATCGTAAAATAACACACATAAGAAAGGCCACCATTTTCAAATATACATATAACTTATCAGACAATGTGCATGCTTAAAGTATTCACATATCAAATATGAACAAAATCGCTTCGCTACTTTTCGAGTTAGAGCAAAAAATGTTAATGGCGGCCATTGGGATAATAATGAATAGAACTGATTCTTTTAGTTTCTTTTTGTTGAATAGATGTGCATCGTTAACAAAACCTTTTTTTCATAAAGCCCTCATTGTTCAAGACAAAGTGTGATATGTAATTTTCCAATATTAAACAATAAATACAGTGAAACTTACCCCTTATGTAGATTACATCTTACATATGGCTCAATTGTGCATAGACTTTGTAAGGATTGCTTCTCTTGCTTGTCAGCAGTGACTTCAGCGCTCTCATTCACACCAGGGGTAGAGTCTAAAAATGTTTGAATAGTACAGGGTGTGCAATATTTAATGGAACTTAAAGTTTTTAACAATTATAGTACATGGTGTTTCAAAAATAATGTGACTTAACATTTTTCCATCATTGGCCGTTAAAGATCAATGTTCAAATTTATGGCAACGAAAAACACAATTGATTAGATAAATACTTTACCAAACTTTTTCACAGAATTTATTAGAGCCTGTGAAGTGGAACATCTCTGCTCATGTAAGTACTAAGTAACCTTTCAGTGATTTTCGAAAGTTTAGTTTTTCATTACCATCATGTAAAAAATGAGCCTCTGTAAGTGGAACACCTCCAAACTAGAACATTACTTTCAAGTACCAAAGGAGCTCTATTACACAAATCTCACTATGAACCTTGAGCACTATGAAAGTTTTGCAGTTATGATCTACTAACTCTAGGATTCTTTCATCTTCATTACCTGCTTGTGTATCGGGTGTCAGAATGGGAATTTCAGATTTGGTTAATTTCTTTGGGTGTGGCGTTGTGAAGAGCTGTTTGGGCGTTTGACCAAACTCCATAATCTGGGCCTCTAAGCCTGCACGTTCGTTGATGTCCTCAATACTTGAAACAAAATATTACTAGATATAGTATACCATGGGCGTATCCACTATCCAGGCATGAGGTAGGTAAAGCAACTGCAACACCAAAATTTTTACGGAAATATATTTTTCACATAATTTTCAACAAAAAACTGTGGAAATTAAGTTGAAAAGTTGTAATATACCTCATTAAGTCTTAATTTGCCTCGCCTTTTCATTTTGGTCTCGATCACCTAATTTTCTGGTTACACTCCTGTATATATTTGTTTTTTGGATTTCTTTAATTCATAGAATTCATTTGATATTACATATAAAATACATACATTTGTAGTCGCTTTGTTTAAATAATTATACACTACTAGAGATGTGATATCACTCTTGCACACCTACACGGCAGAGTATTCAAGATGAATATGTACATTGTATATCTCTACAATATAACGATCTACTAACCTGTCAAGATCCACTGCACCCTCATATGTAAGGTAATAAAACACTGGAAGAAAACAAATATCATTCATCTTCTCAAGTATCAAAGACATCTGTTTCAAGAATTGAGATAAATATCAGGTGAGTGGGGATAATTCACAATCAACCTGCATCATTACCATCGTTAAGAGATAATTATTGTAGCACTGGCACATATATACATTACATGTTCTTGGAATGTCAAGGAGGGTTGACTCCCAACTGTCTTTCATGAGCATTATAGTAATTATTACCAAATTGTTCAATGTCAGTTAAAAGAAGATTGCAAAGGAATGCTGGGAACAAATCCTCCCTGTGGAATGTTTAAACATTGTGTACCATTGTCATGTAGTTCTGCTTGCTCTCCTCTTTGATTGTAGCCAAATATCAAATCAATCCATTCATGGAGATGTGATGAAACATATTCACATTCTAAAGCCTCACGTAACTTTTCAACAAAGTCCTGTGCCCCATTGCACCATGGTGGTAGCTCTACATGACCCACAGGACGACCATCGTGGCGCAACCCAAAGTTAATCCCCTAAAAGAGTGATTAAAGGGTATGTAATGTTTGATTTGATGAAGATTTACTTATGATGCATAATTAAATGAGATTGTAGCGATTGTCGTCTACAAATATGTACAAGTACAGAAAAAAAACTGTCTGATCTGAGTGCCACTAGGGCTGGCCAAAAGTGTTCAAAATGGCAAGTGTTCATATTTCAAGGGTTTTTAATAAAGTCTCACATTAAGAGGTGTTAAGAGTACATAGATTTCACAATGCACAGTTTATCCACTATACAATAAGGCTTTGGGACATGGTGTTTCTGCACAAACTGAATCTTAGTGAAAACAGATCTTAGGTATCATTATTTTTACACTGTAATATCCTGTACTGTGTCTTTTAGTTCACATATTATCTAACAAATAAGAGAGTAGTGGTTTTGCTGACAAATGTATTTTCTAGGTAATCCCCCATACCCACATAATAGGCAATTCATTCACTAGGAGATGCCACCCCCTATTCTCTATTGAATAAATTCACACCAAATCACAATTTTGGTTGTACTTTTATCTGAAGCTAGGTTCTAAAATTAAATAAGATTTGTTTCCTACCTCATTATTCACCAGGAATGACCCATTAGAGTTATAAAACTCAGGGATTAACTCCTTGAAGTCCGAGGCACCTGTCAGGCAGTTATTCCAAACATCTTTCATACTGGAACCAAATGAATGAAAGTCTAAAAATTCATGAAGGAGTTAGTAAATCTATAATTGATAAAGCCTTGAATTATTATGAATGGAACAATAGTCTAGACTTACCTGTTGAACATTCTATCTGGATTGTCAAACTTGCCATTTTGGAGACACAGCATGTATTCCGGGGCTGAAATACAGGGTGACAAGATATTGATTTATAGCAAAGATACAGGGTGACCAAACATTGATTTATAGCAGAGATACAGGGTGACCAAATTTTGATTTATAATGGAAATACAGGGTGACCAGATACTTATTCAAACTGAAATACAGGGTGACTCCATGACAGGAGGTTTTCATTTTGTAATTTCAGATGATTTTATAACCCTGCAGTGGCGGGTTAATCTTAAGTACTTAATTCATTTCTATTTCTTTTATAACCCTGCAAGGAGTGAGTGAAATCAGGGCACAATCAAAATTTATTGAATTTTGACTGACCTATCCTGGCGAGGTAGAAGAGAACATAACCTGGGGTGGAGTAGTGTGACCCATATAAAAACCTTGGCTCAGGCATCTGACTATACCTCTCCTACAACAACAACTACATTACACAGCCAATATACTTTGAAGCCATTCTGGGATTTAAAGAATTTGAGGCAAAACAACAACATTTCGGCATTATTCCAAAGACAAATACTGTTGTTGTTTGTACACTAAAACTTGATGCCATCTTGGCACTGATAGAGTATATTCCACCTGACAGGTTCTACTATGATAAAAACTGCAAACATGACAAATTGTCACCATCTTGTTAATTATTGCAAACGATTACAAAAAAGTAACGTTCGTTACAGACACTGAATGCAATCACCAGTCACAAAAACAGAGGCAATAGTATAATAAAATATACATGTATATATGAACAATACCTTCAATTGGTTTAGCCTCTCTGCATTGAGTGCACCTATTGGTTTACTGAGATCTCGGAATGTGGCGGGATTGGAAAGATCTGCAATATTGAATTTATTGCGTATATGCCTAAATTAATTCCCCAAATGTTGGGAATAGATCTATACAGCCTCAGTATATAGAGGTAAATGCATGTGATAGACCCAGTTTTAAGTTTTGCCCATTCGTAAATCCCCTAAACCTGATTCATTTTGTTATTACTATACATTTTTAGAGATTCATAAAATGATACAATAGATGAGGAATGGTGCAGTATTACAACATTTTTAATTTGACACAAGAATAAAAATGATTTTCCTAATTATTGAAAAAAATCAAATTTTACTCAGATCTGTACATTGATATGTGTACATTATCCTTATCACGTACCTAAAGTTTCACTTGTTTGGTCTGCTACAACCCAAGGAAATACTGGATATTGTGTCAGGTCATTGAAACTACGGTCTGCAACACTGGAACAAAAAATACCCATAATGCAATTGTTGACAAGCAGACGTCAACACATAAAGAGCTCCTTGTAGTAGCTATGGGATATAGAACTTAGGAACTATTGAAGTGGTAGTATGACTCATAATAAATGTCCCATAATGCAATTGAAGACAAGCAGACATCACCAATCAAAAAGCTCCAAGCAGTTGCACAGAGCTATAGAATACTGATAATGAAGTGACAGAATATGGGTAATGACATACAGTAGATCCCACAATGCACTAGTTTCCAGGAGACGTACTGACCTGTTTAAATACATGAGATATTCATAGTTTGAGAGCAGTCCATTCTGCCATTTGAGTGTCATGTTATCTTGGGCAATGTCATCCAGCTGGGTCTCTGAAATAGAAGATGTCAAAGAAATGTTACTCATTGAAATAGAATTGGTACATTGTCATTACAGTAGTCATTGAATAATTGACTTATTAACGCACAGCTTTAACAGTAAGTAAAGCCCAACAAAAGCAAGTTAGTAATATACTGCATGTGTGTTTTCTGTATGCACAAACCCAATTTTTGCTGTATGTGTATATCAGAGGTTACCCTTTGCATTCGTTTGACTTCACATCTAAAAGAGAGCTTCGTCTTCACTCTTTCAGTTTACAATAAATCTCTGATCTCACCGAGCCAATCTACATATGGTCATTTCCTATGATATCACCACATAGTTAATGAGCATGTAATTAGCAAGCATTCCTTCCACTTCACTGATTGGATGAGAAAGGGTAAGAGTGGTAGATTTGAAATGATTTATTACCTGGGCTGTCAAAGGCACCAATCTTTGGGGCGGGGCTGCTAAACTGTAACATAGTCTATACTAGGCAGAGGGTAGTTTATAAATAAACTCTGTGTGCAGGGTAATTAGAGGTTAGGTGATATTTGAGGTTACATGCTATATAAGGTCACATGGTGTATGAACTCACCTGATTGGCTGAGAATCTTGGTGAATAAATTATCTCGTTCTTCTCGTGATGGAAGTTTGATGTACAGATGAGAGTTTTTTACATCATCTTTGCCGAATATCTCGATTCCCTAAAATATCAGAATTAAAGATTGTGAAAAATGATTTTCTCCAATTAAGATATAAGATGAATCTAAATTGAAGCTTATTTTCCAATTTTCTTTTTTTACTGTTGCATAGGATGGAATGACATCTGCAGAACAAAATTCAAAAGCTGCCTTCAGAATTGTCACTTTGAGAATTTCAGACCTACATGTATATGAATTACATGTACTATATTTGACAAGTACTCATATAAAAACATACCACATGCTGTAACAGGAACCTTCTCTTTACAATCTGTTTGATATCACTTAGTTTAATTTTAATGACTGGCACCTAGAGAACACAGAAATATAAGAACAATATCATATTGAGCATCTTTTCAATAAAACTTAAACTTGCCTTTACACTTACAATTTTTATACCATGCAGTGTTAAAGCTTAGAAAATCCAAAATTGATTGATGGCTCCATTTTAGACTGAGTACTTGGTGAGCATTTATTTATGTATGGATAAAGTGAGTGAATAGATAAATTACGACATCTTTTTACAGATTCTACACAGATGGTTTTTGCTCACAGGGTCTACATTATTGAAGGTCTGAAAGTATAATCGCGATGATGTCAGCATTATACGTCCAGGATTTGTGACGAGAGGCGTAATGCGGTCACCCTGAGTCTCAAGCACAATCTTCTCATACAGATTTTCAAGCCTGAAAATGAATCAAGCCTAAAATTAAATTACGCCTGAAAATGGATCATTTGACTAAATAAACGCATTGATTTAAACATAAATATTTGCCAAGAAAATTTACTGACAAGGCAAACTTGTTAGATTGACCAATCAGTGAGTTTAATTTTATTTCTGTTATCGTCAATTAAAATTGTGAATTCATGTCATGGCTTTAGTTTTAGTTAAATTCATTATGTTCTTCGGTATTAAAAGAAAAAGAACTAAGGGGAGGGGGATGATTAAAATAAACATATTATGGATAAAATACATTGTTCTCTGTACATATAAACTAGATTTTACTAAATACTACATATTTCAGTATAAAATTAAGTCCATGTTAAACAAAATTAAGTTCATGTTAAACAAAATTGAGTTCTGTTAAATAAAATTGAGTCCATGTTAAATAAACACCTACTAACCAGCTAGTGTTGAACTTGATTCTTGAATGTCTTGAGGTCACAATGGCATTAATCTGAAAAAATCAAAATTATATAATTCATTGAAATCATGACATTTACGTACTGTACATATTACGAAAGCGGGGACTCAAAAAGCAGGTGTTCACATTTCAAGGTTTTTAACATGAAGACAAAAAGAGAATACGAAATCAGGTCAGAAAAAAGGTGTTTACATTGAGATAGTGTTTACTTCAAATTATGGGTTTTTAACATGATGGCAGCCAGATCACAGGGAGAATACAAAATTGGGATAGAAAAAAAGTCGTCACTCCAGGTAGTCAAGAGGTTAATGTCCAATGTACCTGTAGGCTTAGTGATTTCCCCTTACCATAAATTTCTGCTCTCCTCGAGAAAGGGTGGCTGCACGTTGTAGTTGGCACATCATGTGTATACAGTCATCAACCTTCACATAGTTAAGTGAGAACACGTATTGGTGAGCTTCCTAAAACATGAACATTTAAACATTAAAACCTGTGAAAGATGAACACCTTTGTACCTCAAAATAGTGTTCACTGTATGAGGTGTTCCACATACTGAGGTTTACCTGTACGGAGGTGTTCAATAAATACTAAAACAAGTAATCTCATTTTCATGTCTAACAATCAAGTCGTAAAAGTTACAGACACGCTTTTTTAATGGCTGTCGGGTTAATTATTTCTATATTCAAAATTATAAACTATAGATTTTTAACATGATTGTTATGTGGAGGGCAGAGTACAATACATTACTATTATTGCCCCCCCCCCCTCTAGATAGAATTGTGAACATCATAATATAATCTGTACTCCAAATTTTTACCTTTTTGAAAACATATGGCTCTACTGAGTGATGTTCCTTCATCTCTGTAGCCTGGCTACTGTCAATTGATATGGCATGCTTCACATCTGGTTTTCTGGAAATCATGGAAAAGTAATAATTTAAAGTTTATAAAAGAAACTGAATTCCCATGGATGAATTACAGTAAGCCCAGTCTCACCCAAACACCACTGGGACTTGACAATGTGTTCACATTTTTTAGATTGACAAGTGTTTACATAATTTGAAAAATTGTTCAAATTGAGTGGTTTTCAGATTAGAGTGGTATTCAAATAATCAAAGTTTTCATAAGAAATTGAAATGAGCTTGTATCATTGAAAAGAAATTTTAAAGATTAAATACCTGAATGATTTTTTTATGAAAGTAGTTTTCTGGAAACAATGGCTTATTTTAAGTATGGTCAACTACATGTTCAAGTACATGCTCCTTTACATCAAAATGTATTAACAAACAATCAAATATATTATTATCAAATTATAATATACTAAGTGAAATATGAAATATAGCACTTACTTTGAAAATAAAGGCCCTGTGTATTCTTGTATAGTTTTGATGTCCCTCAGAAATAACTGCAATCAAAAATGCAAAATTAGAAAAAAATTACTTGAAAAGTAATATGGAGACTCCTTTTTTCTTAAGCTGATATTGATGTCAAATATCCACTTTATCTTAAATTTGCTTCTCCCTTTGATTTGGCTCACCTATAATTTGCCTCAACTCTAATTTGCCTCACCTATTATGTCATCCACTTACCTTGATAATAGGGTACTTGAGGTCCTGGGGGTCAAATACTATAGAATGTGAACACACCTTCAGCCTCCCTCTCTGCTTCCTAAAAGATCATAAAATAGATGTCATCATTGATTTAATTATTTATTTGTTTGATTAGGCTCTTGTGTACCTCCCCTCATTTAAATATAAGTACACAAGGGTTATATACTGAGTTTATCCCAAGGAAAATATGTGTATCTCTTGAGGGGTATTTCCCGTTTCCTAGATACACTACATGCAATATACACTATTCCTGTATGTTATGTACCTAGAACATCAGTAAGCATGGGATACAAATTATAAGGTAGGGGAATATGTGATTATTAGGTGACGGGATAGTTTATGTAACAGAGTCTGTTCATAGATAATTAAGTACAGTAAAACCTGTATATGCTATAAAAGTGAACACCTATGGAGCCATAAAAAGTGTTCGCTGTAGGTAGGTGTTGTAACAAGATACGTTTTTATACAAGAGCCAATGTAAAATGTGTCTTGAAGCGGTGTTCACTAAACATAGTTGTTCAAGACTTGGGGATTTGAATGGTGTAAATTGTGAAACTTACTTGCTGTCGCAATCACTTGGCTGGCAGTTAGGAGGGTAGAAGTAGACACTGAAGTCCTCAAAGTATATTTCACCAGGATCCAGAAGCAACAGAGAAAATCTAAGAAACAAATATGAGTGTAAATTCAGAACTTTCACTTGAACTTGTTTTCAAGAAGCTTATCACAGTTATAAATGTAAAGCCTACAGTACAATGTAAGTACTTATGTACATGGAACTTTTGTATTCCATTGAAAAAATTCAACAAAAATAAAATGAAAAATATGGAAGAAATCTTCAGAATAAATGAAAATGGGCCATTCCATTTAAAAAATGTACGGGGGGTATGGATGCACAGGCTGAGACACCCCCCCCCCAGAATTTTTTTTCTTGCTACCCCCCCCCCCCCCCCCAGAAAATTGCATCCATACCCCCCCCCCCAGAAATTTGCATCCATACCCCCCCCCCAGAAATTTGCATCCATACCCCTCTCCCCTGGAAAATTGCATCCATACCCCCCAAAACACGCAAAATCCCCCCTTGAGAAACAATATAAAGGTTATAAGTTGCTCCTACCATTGAAATAGGCAATCAGTTTGCAGAATTTACAAATTAATGTTAAAGGCACATGTTCATGGAAATACCCACGTTATCGGTGTGTATACAATAGAACCACATGTTATATTTCACAAGTCCAAAAATATCTGCACCAGCTATGCACATATTTCTTACCTCATTATTGATTAGTATCCAACAGACTGAGTGTGAACTCAGTTTGTTATCCTTATTTTCTGTCGTGTGGTTATTGCGGTGAATTGTATTGCTCAAAATTATCAATTCATTAGAGGAAGCATTACTTCAATAAAATAAACATTATGAAAATTCAATTAGGTAGTAAAGTACAATTAAATGACATAAAAAGTAACATAGCATATTGTCTAGTCTAGGAGATAAAGCTACATGTAGTGGAACTTAAAATAATTTAAATATGCAAATTAATTTACTACATCAGTCACTTTGAATTATAATTTACATTAAAAAGATATGTTTGAACAACAACATTTAACATAGGCCGTTTACAGTCTGAGTATTTCCAACTAGATTTAAAAAAATACCGTCTAGAGGATGTAGTCTACTCAATTGATTCTATACACTAGCTTGAACATTCTCTCAAAGCTACAGCTGTCTTTTGAAATACTGGTCGATTTAAAAAGTCTGCGATTTGAGACAGCCGCAACTTTTGGGCTTTAAGAGAACACTTAGGCTGGTCTTTAGATTAAATTGAAGTAAGAAATATGTACATAGCTAGCACCGACTTTTATGTCTTTTGATAAATAACATAATGTTCTTTGGATTCGGTCTGCATAACCTGAGATTTTCTTGGCACAAGATAATTACCAGGCTTACTCAGTTACTTAAAGAAGGCAATGCAAAGATAATTTCCTGAAAAAAAACAAAGAAATAAAACACATGCCTTCATACTATATTTTGTACCAGAAATTTTCAAAATATTTCCATATACACGTGCCTTTAACAGAATGTCAGTAAGTCATACGCTCAGAATGAATTATTGCTTATATTACTGTAACAGGATATTTCTAGGTCAACTTTTTTTGCCTTAGCTATGGTGGTTTTGATGACATCTAGTCTCAACAGTATGTTTTCACGTACTAGTTAGCACAAAAAGTGTATGTATATAGTATCAAAGATACAATCTGATTGAATTAGTCTGAAAATATTGCTGGTAGTTTGAAGTAACCTTCCTCAATAATGTAGACAAAATGAGTGAAGTAATTTTGACTACCAGAAATTAGTGTACCTATTAACGGTTCACAATTCTTTAGAATGTATGAATAACTAGAATATTCAGTGGTTTACTTTTCAAACTACTGTCCTATATTTTCAAAAACACATGAAAAGTTCAATATGTGAAGCAAGTGACCACATAGTTTATGACTGAAATTAGATGCCCAAAATGTGGAACAGACATGACAGAAAATAATACTATGAACTTATAACAAAAGTGTTCTAGATACTCTCATCTACTTGAATAAAGTTATATTTGAAGGCTACACATGTTGCATAATTTGACCAAATTGTCTAAAAGTCTAAAGAACAAGAAAGTAATTGCCAGATTGGAACCTATATATTGGTTCCAACATCGCAGTTTACATGTAGGTCACTGTCACATACACTGTTTTTTGTTTGGATCTAGTGTACTATATACTGCTTGTAGCTCTCAATTCAGAGTAAGGTCATGTGCCTACTAGTGTAATGTATCCTGATCTCTAGACAAGTTCACTAATTTGTTATATTGAGGTTGTAATAGTTTTATCCTGATATATTCAGATGACCTGTGTACTTTCTCAACAGACTAAATGATTATGAAAAGCAAAAATAAAAACTGAATATTTCATAATTAGTTGGTTGAACTCCTACCATTGTTCACTTCACACAATCAAAATTAAAATGTAATGTTTCCATTGGTAACTACAATATTTTTTTTATTATTTATTATTTCTTCAACATAAATTACACAATTCCGGGCTCAACGATGACGTCAGAAGGAATGACCATAATAGAACGTCGGTCAAATTTGGCCAACGAACACTGATTGACGCGGTGAGTTCACAGGTTTATTTTAGTTTGAAAGAGTGAAGACGAAGCTCTCTTTTAAGAAGTGAAGTCAAACAAATGCAAAGGGTAACGATTCTGTTGTCCTCTGAGCTATTTTTTCGCAAACATGTACATTTTCAAAAACATATGATACTGATACACGTTTGTGAGAAAGAATGTCGTGGGGAATCTGCCTACAACGCGTGAAATAAGGAAAAAGAAAAATCGTACCTTCGACGTTCCGACAAACCTTTTCGCTAACCAGTGTAATCAAGTGGATCCCCAGTATATAGGATGTATGATATAAATTAGAAAATGTACTGATCTCACTTGAGAATGAAGATATTCTAATTCTCATTGTCTGAATTTAAAAATGTTTAAATAATATGCAGTAACTGTTTCAGAGAAAAATGTCATATTTGTTAATTTTAACGATTCTTCATGTTTTTGGGGAAATCATGTTTTACTGTTCCAGAAATGAAGAGGAGTTCTATGAAAGCCATGACACTGTAGAGAAAGTTATACCCTTAACACAGTAACAAGAGCATACCAAAGTTTTCCTTATCTTAGCATTAAGCATTATATAGGATCACAAATACATTGCAAATATGTAAGTCAGAAAAACCTGTATACAGCTAGCTGTAGCATACTTTGTTCTGTTGGGTGGGATTAAATTTCGAAATAATAAACATGACCGAGATTTGGTGTCAGACAAGTCCATACACAAAATACTCCAGAAATACATGTACATTAACTGACTTATTACCGCCTTTTAAAAGAGTGAAAGACACTCCACCCTTATACCCCTATAGAATACTCCCCCACAGACTACCACCACCACCCCCCTATTATTAACCCCCCCCCCTTCATAATGCCTTTGCAAATACCCCCCCCCCAGAATATTCCATGGTCAATACCCCCCCCCCCAGAATTTTTTCGGTCTCCTACCCCCCCCCCCCCCCAGAATTTTTCGGTCAACACCCCCCCCCCAGAATTTTTTGGTCTCCTACCCCCCCCCCCAGAATTTTTCGGTCAATACCCCCCCCCCCCCAGAATTTTGCATCCATACCCCACGTACATTTTTTAAATGGAATGGCCCAATTGGGTTTATTATCTTATGGTATGTTCTGAACTTGTATCAGATTTTCTTCCATCAACGGATGTTAGAGAATATTGCACAGCGTAGGTTGAAAGATAAATGAATCAGCTGAAATGAATCTATATATGTAGAAACAGTGTAATATTTACCTTTCTTTCCTCTCAGGAACTTCTGCAAGAAAAGCCATGTTGTTTCCGTGTTGTAAAAATTTAGTCACATGACTTTCACGTGACTTTTCAAAATGGCGGACGATGATCCAAATATTTCGGTGGAGTTTGTAGAGAATATAGCGATTTTAACCATGAACAATGGTGAGAATCGTATCAGTAATAAGTTTTTAAAAGGATTCAATGATGCCCTCGACAAAGTTGAAAGGTAATTTATATTTGATCACTTGTATTTCCCCAAAATAGAAATTTTGATGCATTGTTTGGATTATGAGTTGACTTTGAACCAAACATTGAAGTTTGATTTTGAAATGAAAGATCACTTTTTGAATCTCAATATTATTATGTAGATTGTAGGCGATGAACCAGTGTTTATATCTTAAACACTTATATTCGCTACATGTATTGTTCCTCCATACACAATTTCTTCTCCCTTGTAGCAATGAAGACATCCAGGCTATAATCACAACAGGCACTGGGAGGTTCTACAGCAATGGGTTAAACCTGAACTGGCTTGGGTCCCTGAGAGAGCAATGGGGAGATGATGAGTACAAGAAGTTCTTCGAAAATCTGCACAAGCTATTCCTACGTATCTTGTCATTCCCAATGCCAACCATTGCAGCTATAAATGGTACGGTCATATTACTTACAGACACTCGTTATATGTATATGCATGCAACTGGTAACTGCAATATCAGTCCACAATGTGTCTTCTGAAAAAAGTGTCTTCATTCCCAATGCCACCCATTGCAGCTATAAATAGTCAGGTCAGATTACTAGTGTATATATGCATGTAACTGGTACACCAGAACTGCCAATTATTAATTATATAATTCAATATGAAAATGTGAATGTTACTTTGAATTGATGTTGTCTCTTGAACACAAACCTACATTACTTTTAAAATGTTAAACTGAAAGATCACACAGAACTCAACAGTACTATTTCAGTTTTAAATGGATGTGTACAATGGTACATTCATGCTGAAAATTAAGTTTCCCTCTGAGGCAAATTTAGAGACTAAATCATGTAAGCCTGTACTTAATCTGGAAATTACAAGGTGTCCCATATTTTAAGGACACTGTTATGCAGCTGGAGCTATGATATCCCTTGGGCATGACTACAGGGTGTTCAATAGTCAAAGAGGATGGTTCTGCATCAATGAGGTTCACATGAACTTAAGAGTTAATTCATTCATGAGAATATACTTGAAGTGAGTATACATGTAGTCTAGTGATAAGTCTTTTGCATGACCATGCATTGTTTCTTTAAAATACCATAATTTATGAAATAACGAATCATAGCCTAATTGTATACAGTAAAACCTGTCTAACTGAACATCACTTCAAGAACCGCCCAAAAGTTTAAAGATTAGCATGTTTTGACTGCTCATTGTACATGTCTTTCGAAATTGACAAAACTTTTGGTTATACCACAAGCTTGAAAAGTTCAATTTGATGTTACATACCCTTGTTTCAAGATAATATTGGTACATAGATGTACATAGATGGTAGTAGGGATAGCATAGGTAGATACATCATTTTCTTGACAACCTTGACCCTATACTTGTATGTCATGCTTTTAGTGCTGGTGTTATGTTAGCTCTTGGCCGGAGTGACAGGGGTTGGTGGAACCTGAATGAAGTTCACTTGAAAATGAGATTTAACAAATATATGAGCGATTATTTAGAGTGAGCTACTTTTGTTTTTGTTTGAAGGAAACAGGCAACCTTGTATAAAACCCATCTCTTGCCCCTCTTTTTCCAATGCTATTCATAGAGGAAAAACAAGGCATTAACATGCAAAATGTCACAACCTGCCATTTGTTACAAATGTTGACAGCCGACTGCCGAACACCATCCACAAAAAAAAGTTGGAGACTATAACAATATATCATCACTTGACTTGTGGTAGTGACATAAAAACTGTAATGCAAAAACCTCTGTAAGTGGAACACCTCCAGAAGTGGAACACTTTTCAAAGTTTAGCAAAATTCAGGCAATTTAAATTGAACCTCTGATGAGTCTGTGTTAATAGAATTCTTCCCAGATGAAACATTATTTTGAGGTACCAAAGGAGTTCCACTTAGACAGGTTTAACTGTACAATGGATAAGAAAATATGACAACTATGATTGCTAGTATTAAGGCTAGATAAGCACAATGCAATCCAGACAAGGCATATAATCCAGATAGATATTTACTTCAAGTTTTAAGAATTGGAACTACATTAATAATAAATACCATGGGATTTTTCCAGCATTATGGTAACTGAACGCTGATTGCTGAACCCTGTTGAAAACTCAATTCAGAAATTATATGCAACCCTGATTAAAATCTGTATGCACTCTGAAAAGGTTAAATTATTGAAATATTTTGATCAGAAAAGTGATGATTAAGATTTAGTACGCTGGAGGGAAAACCTTGAAGATTTTGATGGTTTTTATTGCACAAATTGTGACATATTGTTATAGTCTCCAACTTTTATGTGGTGGCATTTTGTGTTTGGTGGTTGGTGTTCAAAATTCTGCGATTGATGTTTGATGTTTGGCATTCGGCATCTGTAACAAATGACAGGTGGTGAGATTTTACGTATTAATGCCTTGTTTAAGATTTTCGTGTTCATATGCATTCTTCTGTATTTGTTGTTTTTCAGAACATTGATTCCCAAAGGACGTGTCTACCGAGAAATGCTTGGCTTTGGACGTCGCTACACAGGACCAGAGTTATTGCAAGATAATATGGTTGAAGCTATTGCCGAACCAAAAGACTTAATTGAAACCGCTAAAAATGTGGTCATCAAACATATCCCTAAGGGTGGATTTACTAGAGAGGCAATGAAGAACATGAAGTATGATATGTTTGTACAATTGTTTGAATTTGCTGAGAGGCCACTGGACCTGAATGCAAAGCTATAATAACTTTGGTTGCAGATTATAGTATTGAAAATAAAGATTTGTGGAATTTGTTTATTGGAAAATACAATGGACTTGATTTGTATTTTGTATTATTCTTTTTAATTAATTTATTTACAAGTTTTTACATGCAGAATTAATGGAATCTTATATATGGAAATTTCATGGATTTATATTTACATGAAAAATAAATGTTATCTTTTATATGGATATTCATAGACTTGGATAGTTTTTTGTGAGTAACTTCTTCAAATGTTCCTGTTAGGACTCAATAAATTACGAGTCTAAAACTAATCCAAAACAATGTACTTCACTTGAACTAGAAAATTATTGAGGTGTTATATGTTAAAATGTGTGTGCTTGCAACCCATATTTTGAAGTTTGTTGGGAGGAGAGCATCTTCTACTTTACAACCTTTAAGTCCTGGTAATGGAAAATTATTGTCTGTGTCCATACTTGTAACCATGATTTTTGATGAAGTAAATCTTTAATCATTTGAAATGTCTAAAACAAAGAAATATAAATTGAGCTTTGTTTAAGTCTTTATTATAGTACCAATATTCTACAAATTGTATTTTATTCAATATTTTTTCTCAAAGCTTCTACAGTAACATCCAGAAAGAACAAAATTTAACCAAGACTTGGATTATGATCTGAAGAACAAAATTAATCTAAAAACTACATGTAGGTTCATGATACAGAGACCAGAAAATGGTCTCCAGATTCAGGTTCTATGAAGCCATATTACTGTAATAGTATTATGTATAAAATATGGTGACCTCGGAATTATCAATAACAAAATTGCAGAAATGAAACAAACATAATTTAAACATTCAATTGATTAAATGAACATTGCCATTTTTACCTTATTTAAATTCAAAATTGCCCTCAAGCAAATAGCCTACTTAATAATTGTAGGGTAGGAGATTAATGCAATAAGGCTTTAGAAGCATGTGTTCTGTTCAAGTCTGCAGGTTGCCAATTCCATGACACACCACATATAGAGTAAAACCTATTTAATTTAAATACCACTTGGGGTGGCCAAAAGTGTTTAGATTGACAGGTGTTGATTTCTTTTCATATATACATTTTTTTAAATGTGGAAGTCTTTGGCAGATTAAACAGTGGGGCAAAAGATATGTTCAGAATAGATTGGCAGGTGTTGATTTCTTTACATATATATGTTTTTTAATGTGGAAGTCTTTGCTAGACAGAACAGTGGGGCAAAAATACGTTCAGAATAGAGAGCTGTTCAGATTATACAGGTTTTACTGTATTTCACTCAAGGCACTCAATATATTCACAATCACAATTTAGAATGCATTTAGATATGCTACCGAAGTTCAATCTGTAATTCCTTTGTTGCAGTTTGACCAATCAGAGTGTGCAAAACATTCACTTCTTCCTGTGTCATATTTCTTTCCATATGTCTATAAATAATCCTATAACAATGACTCGTCTTTTCAGTTTTTGGGTGTTTGAAAGTGTCAATCAAAGTAATTTCCTCTACTAAGTCTCCGCCCACTGATCTGACAAGATCAAAATAGTCATTTGATGTGTAGTCATTTGGGATCCAGAATGACATGTCACTGATGCATTGTGGGTAGTTGCTGACAGGCTGGAATAGAAATGGCGATTTTCAATTGGCTAGTTTAAATGTTACATAGTGTGCTTCAAATCATATCGTCAGTTCATGGAAAAAATTACATATTAAAAGCTATTTGACTGTTCCTTGCTGTTAGACTAAACATTTTTTAATTTTTTGACAAAGCCAATGCATCTTATATTCTGTTATTAACTTACTTTCATATCAAACTATGAGAAGACCTTACTCTGAAAGTAATCGGAGTTTCAGAACGTTCACATCGAACTGAGAAAAATTTACCTTGAAAGTAATAGGAGTTTCAGGGTCCTTCACATCAAACTGAGAAAAACTTACCTTGAAAGTAATAGGAATTTCAGAGTATTTCACTTCAAACTGAAAAACCCTTACCTTGAAAGTAATAGGAGCTTCAGAGTATTTCACTTCAAACTGAAAAATCCTTACCTTGAAAGTAATAGGAATTTCAGAGTATTTCACTTCAAACTGAAAAATCCTTACCTTGAAAGTAATAGGAACTTCAGAGTATTTCACTTCAAACTGAAAAATCCTTACCTTCAAAGTAAAAGGAGTTTCAGGATCTTTCACATCAAACTGAGAAAACCTTACCTTGAAAGTAATAGGAGTTTCAGGGTCCTTCACATCAAAGTGAGAAAACCTTACCTTGAAAGTAATAGGAGTTTCAGGGTCCTTCACATAAAACTGTGAGAGAATTCTTCTGTCGCCACTCCAGAATACTCTGATGTCAGGTATATCATACAAGCACATAGCCAATCTCTCTAGACCAAGTCCAAATGCCCAGCCAATCTTCCCTGATGCTCCAGCTGTGATTTAAAGAGAGGGAGAACAATATAAGATTACTCTGTGGATAAGTAAAATTTGACTTTTGTTAACCTTGACCTATAAAATCTTCCATGGTTCTCGTTGTTTCAGTAAATCTTTTAAGACTATAATACTATGTCGACCTTTTGATAACTTTGATCTATTGAATCGTTCATGGCTCATATTGTTTAAGTAAAGCATTTGATCCAAGTCAATATTAGACAAACAGATTTGATTTTCAAGGTGGCATTGAGCTGTGAGATGAATGTGACTCGCTATCAAAAGTTCTTTGTATTACAATTTGTAAACTAACAATAACCGGCAGTACATGTATGTTATCCCTATAAACACTAGACAGACCCTAAATAAGTACAGTTAAACATAAATGCCTTTGGTATCTCAAAGTATATGTAGTGATCCACTTCAGTTTCATTTAAGCTAATACGAAAAGGGACATGTTCCACTTTAACATGTTTTATCGTGAGGGACTGAGTAAATTTCAGGTATACGTAGTGTGAATATCTCTAGCATTACCTTGGTTGAGTAATTGTTGCTCCATAACCCCACAGCCAAGAACCTCCAACCAATCATCCTGGTATTTGATCTCCAACTCCCATGATGGATGCGTGAAGGGAAAGTAGGTTTCTACCCATTGGTACTCTATATCTGAAAAGAAAGAACATGCAATATAATTTATTGTTGTAAAGAACTATAATTATATACAGGATGTCCATAAAGTGTACTTACAAAGTCAATGTAAAGTGTAATGGGATTTTATGAACGCCTCTGTAATCTGAACAATATTCAATATGAACACTCTCTTAGTATCTATTTTATAATCTGACTCCATTGTTAAAGAAACCTTGAAATGTCACAGTAGCTGCTATTTCAAACCCAGACTCATGGTGTTCAAGGTTTTACTGTAGATGAAATTGAGGTGTAAAAGTCATTATTACATCAGAGGAAACAAAATATTTATTCATGATTGATTTCTATCATAATCTCTAAAGACAGTAAACTTCTTTCAAATTGAAACGCTTCTTTTCTTGACGGACACAGATACAGTACCAGAGCAAATACTCAAAACCCAGATGCATTTTTTCCAATAGAACAGTCACTCAATAACATACCCTTTCCAAATAAATGTGTCGTCATCCCAATTAGTGTCTTCTTCAAGTCATGCTCCACTAGTTTCACTGCTTCCATTGTATGGGTCTCCTGCTTGTTGGAATCTCTTCTACTATTCTCAAACAATCCTAAGCCTTCTTTGTCTGCCACGGAGGAAAATAGCTGAAATGGTTATTTTGAGGTTAGGTTTCGAGAAAACATAATTAGCTGGGGGCCATTAACAGAAATTTTGTTAAGTTTAAAATTCGTAAAATCCATCGTTCTCTAACTGTGACATCATTATCTATGAATTCTTACGGCCAATTTTGAATACATCTTTAAATTCCTCAAAGAAACCAATTGCAAATGACAGACCATCAGACAAAACTGGGGGCTAATAACACCTGTGATGACTATTAGACTAACCTGATGACTACATGTATAAAACATACCTGATGACTATTAAACACATCTGTTAACAAAGCCATACCTGATGACTATTAGACACATCTGTTAACAAAGCCATACCTGATGACTATTAAACACATCTGTTAACAAAGCCATACCTGATGACTATCAAACACATCTGTTAACAAAGACATACCTGATGACTATCAAACACATCTGTTAACAAAGACATACCTGATGACTATCAAACACATCTGTTAACAAAGACATACCTGATGACTATTAAACACATCTGTTAACAAAGCCATACCTGATGACTATCAAACACATCTGTTAACAAAGACATACCTGATGACTATTAAACACATCTGTTAACAAAGCCATACCTGATGACTATTAAACACACCTGTTAACAAAGACATACCTGATGACTATTAAACACATCTGTTAACAAAGCCATACCTCATGACTATTAAACACACCTGTTAACAAAGACATACCTCATGACTATCAAACACACCTGTTAACAAAGACATACCTGATGACTATCAAACACACCTGTTAACCAAGACATACCCCATGACTATCAAACACACTTGTTAACCAAGACATACCTGATGACTATTAAACACACCTGTTAACAAAGCCAAACCTGATGACTATTAAACACATCTGTTAACAAAGACATACCTCATGACTATCAAACACACCTGTTAACCAAGACATACCTGATGATTATTAAACACATCTGTTAACAAAGCCATACCTGATGACTATGAAACACCTGTTAACAAAGCCATACCTGATGACTATCAAACACACCTGTTAACCAAGACATACCTGATGACTATTAAACACATCTGTTAACAAAGCCATACCTGATGACTATTAAACACACCTGTTAACAAAGACATACCTGATGACTATTAAACACATCTGTTAACAAAGACATACCTGATGACTATTAAACAGCCTGACACCTTCACATTGATGAAACACTGGGTAGTGTTTTGAATCAATCTCATCTCTTCGATACACATCCCCGACTGCTAAGAAAGCATCCAATCCCCTGCTAATAAGATCAGCTTGGTGGGCAGAAGTGTGAGCTCGTAGTACATGCTCGGCATTCACATAATATGTGTCGGACACTGATCTACTGATGTGATTCTTCGGCACAAGTAAACTATCAAAACACTGGTGCGTTGTCACGACAGGGGATAAATTGTCAAAAACTGCAAATAATGGGTTGCCGTTTCTGTTCCGGAATGATCTGTAAAAATAGTTTTGGATTCGCTGTTTTATTAAGTTCAGTGGGTGGCTGTGCTTGTTGTGAAGGTTGCGTCCTACTTTGGATAAAATGCGAGGAGTTACATTCGTCGTTTGGTCTAAATCATAGGATGCGCCAAATATTGATATTGGTTTAGTTTTGTCAACATTGTAAGCTACTTTTGAAGAGTATAGCCTATGGATGGTTGCTAAACAACAGGTTTGCCTTTTCTGAAACAGCACAAGTCGCACCATTTTGGTCACTCTGGAAAATAGTAAGAACATGGTATTACTACAACGATACTTTCCAGAAAAATAAGGGAATACAAATGTCTTCATACTTTATTTTGCACCAGAAAATAACATGTGCAGGTATAGCAATTTTTCAAAAATGTTTCCTTAAAGCCAGACTACGCCTTGGGTTTCTCTCCCGGACGATCAGTAATATCCCATTATAATTGCTTATATGATATCTTCCATACCTTAGATGTATCTTCAGACCAACATATGGGTATAGTATTGCTGAATTATTGGGATAATCAACAGAACAATCAACTGTCAGAATTCTACACAATTGAATTTGATTGCCGCAATCCAGGGAAACCCTTTCAAATGACACATACACATGACCATCTGCAAACTCAGCACGTGCCTAGTGCCAGGTAGCGAATTATATAAAAAACCGGTTTCTAATTTCTTTTAGAACTGTCATTTACGGAGTTGCATTTGTTACGTAACCATACTGATAAACAAATTTAACAACCAATCAGATAACACATTGATTTCCCCGGTTTATTCAAGTTTCAGATAATTAATTTAGAAGATGACTAGGACAAGTTTAGGGCATAATTTTACAATTTCTTAAGAATCTCGCTAATGAAATTATAATTTTATTAACGAGATCTTATTAAGAGTTCATATCGCATAATAACCCTTATTATCGGATTCCAGCTGTTAGTAGTATTAATTTGAATAAATTAAAACTGAGTAGTACAGCTGAGTGGACATGTATATGCACCGATAACTAGGTCTATTGCTTAGATGCCAACTTAATATTCTGAAACCATTGAAAAACTCACCTTACTATGAGTAAACTTCAGTGAATTCTTTGACTAAGAAAACAACTACATCCACTGCTTGTGAGATGTCCAATTTATCCCTAAATCTTTGTGGGATGCAAAGTTAAAATAAAGTCCTTGTGTAGTATAGGATATAAACCTTTCACTGTTTGTGAGATTTAAACTTTAAAAACTTTCATTACAACTTTGAGAGTGTAAAAATCCAGATACATAATATTTGACTTGATGAAGATTGTTGAATGTTAATTCTATCCTTCATAACTCAGTTGTCTGTGGTTATGTTCTGAAATAACACAAAACTGTGTTTTAGTGACAATTAACGACTGGGTGGGCGAGGGGGGAATATATGAACTCTTAATAAGATCTCGTTAATAAAATTATAATTTCATTAGCGAGATTCTTAAGAAATTGTAAAATTTCTATTACACTCATCTTATTAAGAGTTCATATCGCATGTTTAAAGTAACATGACCTCAGAACAACTGATCTAAATCCTTTAATTTCCTTTATCAGTTTAACAGATTGTAAAATTGTTAAGCATTCAGTTAATTTGCATTTCCCATCACTTGGTTTGTAGATATATCAAATGTTCAAGTTTATGGTACTGTTACTGCATACCTGGTTAAATATGTCTTTCAAATGTACTTAAATGTATTTATTAAATATCTATCTATTATTATTATTCTATAAAATTAAGACCTTTATGTATTGTTATAGAAACTGCTAATGTGTATGTATATGAGATGTTTACTGGATATGTACATGCATGGCATCGCATGACATTTGACAAGGATAATTTAAACTTCCTTCTTATGATTCCCTTCTACTACTAGTAGTTTGTTTCAGATGTTTCTGGTATTTTCTAAATGCTAGTACAACATCATTAAATGGATTCTCATGAAAAAACTTGAAACCCCAATTTTATGTGTTGACATTCTGTCTTTGACAACCATCCAATGGCATATTATTTCAGAGGCCCTGGGATACATGCTTGAAATAGACATTAACATGACTTATTGTGTACTTTCAGTTGAGAATTCTATTCTGACCCGAATGTTCAATGTGAGATACAGTACGACCTTATTCACATCCCAAGTTTCATTTATTTTATTTAGTGGGTTTCCATTGTAAAAGTTTCCATAAAATCAACCAGAACATGGTATTGACTTACCTGTACCTATCTATGGTTCCATTATATGCTGATTTTGCAGACTTTAAGTATCGAGAAACGAATAGCACATACCTGATTTGACATTTCAGTTAGGAAATTGGCTAAATTTGTATCAGAGGCTAAATATTAATGTCATGTTTATTAGAACATGCAGCATACCCATGTTTTTTAGGGGTCCTTGGAAGTAATTTAAGTACTTTCTTTACTTGATTTAATGAACATACATGTTTTGCCAGTTTGTCACAGAAACCTCTAGTTTCAAACTTGAGGATGATAATTTAGACACCGTTAGTGTTATGTAGCTTCTTTTTTTATAAAGGCTGTAAGATTAGATATTAGTAATTTCATATGGTTTGGCAATAAGATGGGCATACAGACCAACATTTCCAACAATTATAGATACCGCAGAGCCATTTGCCACATTGGGGCTATAAGAGCCATATCTGTGCATTTTTTCTGTCTCACTTTAACCAGTAAACGGCTGATTTAAGAAATTGGAGGAAAGTTATTTGACTGTTTATTCGGAATAAATATGTCAACTTCCAGAGTTTCTGGGTTTAGTTTCCACCTGAAATATTAATTTTCTACTGGTCGACAAATCAATTTATCTGGACCTTAAAACTTTCAATTAGGAAAAATCTCCCAATCTTATTTCTAGTTTGATGCATCGAGGAATTTCTCTAGGTTTGATCTGACATTCAATTCTGATTCCTTGGAAGATATTATACGGTAATAATGATATCTCTGGCAAAGGTATCTGAACGATCTTGCATTGCTTTTAACATTTCTAGCCATCTCGTTCCCCACATTTTGTTCACATAATGTCATCGTGGTTTTCTTGTTAATTTTATATAACATTGTCTAAGTTTTGTGAATACTTTCACTACCATATCCATGGCTTTCATTCATATGAAACAATTTTTTGTTTAATCTATTTCCCCTAATCTACTGTCCCGTCAGACTTGAACTTTAGCCAAACAGGCTGCTTTTTTGTTGTTATTGTAATTATTGATTCGGATAACACTATTAGTATTCTGAATTTCGACTTCTTGGACCAATCACTATCAAATTTTGAATTCATATTTTGTGAGTTATTTTGGCAATCAATGCATACATGTAGGACTGCTTTGACCTTTGCAAGTGTCAATAAATGTAGAGGTTCAATATACAGATTACAGACTAAAGTACAATTCAAAAGTATCTCAATAACTTGAGTAAGATTACTGACTAGGGTTGATTCTATCCCTACAAAGTCTTTGCGAGAATTTTGATAGAAACTATCATTTCTATTAAGGCCTTCAAGTTCATCTCAATTGTATTGATCACAAACCTACAAAGCTCCATTTTATGATGGGAAAAATGCAACAATAGGCTTTTCCCCATTTATCAGAAACTTCAGTTTGAAAAAAATATTTCACTAACTTGAAATCATGTTCATGAGTAGCAGATAGGCGAGAGGTTAATGACATCAGAGAATCAATAAAAGATTCAAAACCAAATTAAATATTCCACAATAGTGCTTATGGTATTTTCACGAGTTTGAGGGAAGCAAGGTCCATAGTAATGATCTCAAATGATGTTATATCATTCAACAGAGCTATTTCCTGTGCCTCAAATGTATGCTTATGGTCATATAAGCATCCTTAGCATGGACTTTCACCATCGGTAATTGTTTGGCCATCTCATGTTTCTTAGAGTTACCATGTCTTCCATTTTGAAATATTCATACCAACTAAATGGTTAAGATTTTTTAGAGTTTAGATTGAGAACGAGTCTCTGGGAACAATCCTCTTTCTCCTGTAACAATATGTGACACAGAAATTGATCTATGTTTGACTTTGCTTTTCTGTTGCATGTTTAAGAGTTAAATGAATCTCCTGTTTTTAAAGGATGGACAAAACATCCGATTGCTTAAAATCGCAGTTTTTAGAAATATTAAAGCTGCTTTCCATTTAGAAATCTTAAGCTATATTGTTATCATTTCTCAGAATCTCTGGTAACCTTGACCATACTTCATATTTCTATGTAGGTGACTTTGAAACTTCAAAAAGTATATGTAATTTACCTAAGTTTCTGTTTTAGTGAACTTCCAGATTGTTTTTTCTAGATCTGATGTTATGTCAAAACATTCATCTTTTTAGATCCATTTTGGTTTAATTTTAAAAATAAAATTGACGTACCTGTCATTGGACAAGGATTTTCCTACAGCCTAAGTTGTGCTGGAGCGACATCGTCTATAATGACATTGTTTGTCATGACTTCTAGCTGTATAGCTATTGGCAGCTGACAGTTTCTGCTTTCACTGGCCTATTCAAAAGGCTGTCAAATACTTGTATTTATAATCTATTGAAAGATTTTGATCTAGAAAACTATGTTTTCATGTCTTTGACAAAATCTTTGTTGAGTCATCACCAAACAATTCTTTTGCCCAGCTTGGGGTATTCTCTTTTTGGTTAGGTAATGGTATGAAGACAGAAAATTCTCCAATTCACTCTTGAAAATGAAAATTTGAAGCATGAAGCTTGTTTCAACTACAGTTGTTGGTTATGGGAAATCCTTGTTTAGCAACAATAGCTGTTTTAATCAAAATATTGTACGAGTATTGTCATTTGATCTAGGGCTGTTAACCCGATTTCCATGGATAAAGAGCTTTATTTCAGGAAGTCCATGTGACACACATTACCAGTATTGCATATGCCATTTCCCATTTTGCAATTGTAGATTTCTATCTGCTTTGGGACTAGGAACATTTTTAGTTCATTTACTTTCTAGATAGCTTATTTGCTCTAACCTTTCCTTCATATTTTGATATCTACTAGGATAATGTTTTTGACCAATATTTATGGACAGATTTTACATGCTTGTCTGTTATCTTCAATTCAGACTTGTTCTCAAATAATGAGTCAAACATATTGAACATATAGACCGCTGATAAACAGAACATGAATCTATAAGCACTAGATTACTAGAACTTGAATCAAAACAAAAATGATTCTATTAATTTGAACCTACTATGAGGCTATGCAATTGGATATGCTCGCTGAAACTGTAATATGACCTCTAATATGACTATTATTCTGATGGCGGCTCATTTTGAACCTTGGTCAAACTTTGGTTTATAGGCCTTGTACTTTGGTCATTTGGACCTTTGGTGTGTGCATTCAGACATAAACAGTGGTCATTTAGACCTAAAATGTGTTCATTTAGAAATAACATGTGGTCATTCAGACCTAAACTGTGGTCATTCAGACCTAAACTGTGGTCATTAAGACCTAAACTGTGGTCATTTAGACCTAAATTGTGGTCATCTAGACCTTGACTGTGGTCATTATAGACCATGGTCATTTAGACCTTCAGTATTCAAACTTCCATCTTGAAAAATCATAAAATTTCCCTACCTGTCCAAATACATAATTTCAGGAGCACTAGGAGCCGTACTAATGGTTCATAAGTCCAAACAAATGTAGCTAGACTAGTAAATAAAGTTCCAAAAAACTGCAACAAATGACTGTTGAAAAAATTCAACAAGTCGAGCAGATCATCTGAACTAAAATCCATGTGCTATTTACAGCTATGTACAAATAGCCTAGTCTCCTATAAAGGTGTGTTTCCGTTGGCAGCTAAGCAAAAATAGACCTAGTTATCGGTGCATATACATGTCCACTCAGCTGTACTACTCAGTTTTAATTTATTCAAATTAATACTACTAACAGCTGGAATCCGATAATAAGGGTTATTATGCGATATGAACTCTTAATAAGATGAGTGTAATAGAAATTCAAAGTTAGTTTAAACTTTTTCCATTTAGTCGTCCTTATTGTAAATTATTTACGGCAGAAATTTATGGAAAAGTTCAGAATCAGCGAGCACGAAAATTCAATATGCTGTAAATTTAATCTTACTTTTGATTGTCTCAGGTTTTTGAATCAAGCGTGAAAAATTGAAGGTGTTGAAATTCTGACGAAGATGTTCAAAATCTGAACTTCGGTGTTCAAAAACAAAACGTATGCGACCTTGGTAAGTGACGCATGTTGGGTAACTGTGGGGTACATGTTGGGTTGACAGGGCTGATTCATGCATGTACACCTCCATCCATGATTTGAACAGTAAATCATTGATCATCATGATTGAATGTTGCAGAAAAAACCTTTGCACATCTATCAAATGTTCGGAGTTCAACTTCTTACTCAATCTAATGTAACGGATCCATAGTAAGGACCTACCCTTTGGATAATTGCCATAATAATGACATTCTGCAACACAATTACCCTGAGTTAGTATTATATAAAACTGTATAAAACTTTAGATATACAAAATAAAAATACCTACCGGGCGATAATATGCAACTTAATTTCAAATCTCCTCAGAGAAGAGCTCACATTCAAAATGGCAGCGCCCTCAAAACAAATCATTTTATCACTTTACAAGAATATGCTACGGGAAAGCAGTAAATTTACTAGTTATAACTACAGGTAATGAGTTATGTATTCATAGATTTCATTTTTCAATGTACCCTTGGTTTTTCTTTCACTTATAGATGTGAAATCGTATGTTAAACTTTTCCACTTTTTTATTTCATAATATTTTTTGGAGGAGAATACCAAGGAGGATTGGCTCCCAGAGTGCACCACCGATATTCTGTCCCATATATGGGTATGTCGTAATACAAAATTCGAATTCAAACAGCCGCCATTTTGTTCACTTCAACATTTAAATCGTGAATTTTGGTCTTATTTCCAAATGAAAAATTCCAAAACTCACAAGAAATGATCGAGATATTGGTTCGAATCTTTTGAACTGTTTATTTTGAATTTATAGTCGGTTTTAATTTCAGAAAATAACGACATTTCGACGTTTTCATTGTTGGAAAATATCGAGTTTCGATCCTGGGAGCCAATCCTCCTTGGGAGAATACATAATTTAGACAATCCAAAAACCGACACGTAAAATCATTTTAATGTTAATCTTATTTTGTTATACATATACGTTTGGTGTAATTGATGATACATAGCTGAGACAATACTTATGTTAACATCATCATTACATTTTCAGTACTGTCAACCCCTAAAGATTTTCTCGCGGGACAGATTTTTTAGACCCAGTGCCCAAAATTCGCGGGATTTTGCGGGACATCTACTAAATTCGCGGGATTTCGCGGGACATTTAAGGGATTTGCGTGATTGCGCTAATAGGCCAAATTTTTATCAAATTTGCGGGATTTCGCGGGACCATTCGAGGGACAAACACCCTAATTGCGCTATAGTTAACAGGTTTACCACCAAAAACTTGATAGAGGGACAGATTTTTTAGACAAAGTGCCCTAAATTTGCGGGATTTCGCGGGACATTCACCTAAATTTGCAGGATGTCCCGGGACATTCAAGGATTTGCGTGATTGGGACTAATGTAAAAGCGTGTAAAAGTACTTAAATCAAACTTCCAGATACTGATTAATCAAATACAATGCACCGTTGCATTGTAACTCAAATAAACGTCAACACAATTTCACAAAATACGTATAGGAATATTATTAAACTTTATTTTCAAAAGCAAAAACCATGCTTCAGGTGTGATTACCGTATCTAACACGAAATTCAAAAATTCGGAACAATTGTTACTTTGCACTTCTGGCGTCGTGAACAACTATGAAACGCTTACCCCCATAATGTTATATATTAAAATGTACCTATTCATGGCATTTTCTTTCAATTGAAAGCCCATGATATAGCGGTTCGATTAATCTACATCAAATTATAGGGAATGGGGTTACCTTTCTAGATAGGGTTTGTAGAAAAAAACGGGTACCGGGTAGTAAATCCTCCATGCTGGGTTCAAACTTGGTACCCGGTCGAAAAAAACGGGTACCCAAAAAACGAAATATACGAATATACAACATAATTAGATCATTAGAAAACGTGTAAGATTTGTTTTGAATTTACAAAAATGTATGTAACTTCCTTCAAAATTGAGTTAGAAGCTTCAAATAAAAAGCATTTTAAGGCTCTTTTCGTCCTCTATCATCATATTTCCATTGGTAATGAAAGGGGGAGGGGGGGTGCGATCGCACCCCTTCCTGGCTACGCCAATGACATTGTAAGACGATTTGAAAAACAAGACAAATCAATCTTACTCTATTTTCAATAGTTCGTTTGTTGGTACGTGAATTTATTTGATTATGATTTAAATCTGTAAATAGCTATCGTTGCTTTAGCAGGGAGGTGACGTGTTAATTTACATGATTTTGATTATTAATCATAATTTAAGTTATCCCAATTTTCGACAAAATGTCCACTGAATTGTAAATTGTTATGTCTTACAATGTCATAGGCGTAGCCAGGAGATGGTGCGATGGTGCGATCGCAGCCCCATAACCGATGAAAATATGGCCATGACGATAGAGGAAGAAAAGAGCCTTAAATACACTTTTTATTTGAAGCTTCTAGCTCAATTTTGAAGGATGTTACATACATTTTTGTGAATTCAAAACAAATCTTACACGTTTTCTCATAATCTAATTATGTTATATATTCGTATTTTTCGTTTTTTGGGTACCCGTTTTTTGACCGGGTACCGGGTACCAAGTTTGAACCCAGCATGGAGGATTTACTACCCGGTACCCGGTTTTTCTACAATGCACCCTTTCTAGATATCAGCGTCCATTTATTGTAACTCGCGTTTGCTAACATTTGCTCAGTTCTGAGATGAAGGCCACACGGATAGTAAAAAGCCCAACGTTAGAACTATTTTTGACCTACATCCCTATTTTCGTAATTAAAATGAAAGTTGAACCCTTCCTCTTTATTTTGATACCAAACAACAGCATGCTAGGTACTTAAAATTAGGTAAACTTTACTCCTCAAAAGTGCAAAAACTTAGCTTCTTTTATAAGATAAGATAATCACAATATAGGGGATTGCAACAATTTCGGAAATTCGCGGAGGTCAAAAACCACATTTGCGGGACATCGCGGGACACGCGAATTAGCCTAATTTTGATCAAATTCGCGGGATAATCCCGCCATTCGCGGGACACTTGACAGCTCTGCATTTTCATGACAATTGCCCTCTAACCAAGAGGATTGTCTCCCTGTGTTCAAACCCATTACATGTATATATTTCCAAGTTCAGTGCTGATTTCTAATAGAAATTTCAAATGTATGAACTGCAAGGAGAATGGCCGATATTCTAGTGACCTTGACTGATATCGACGACAGCATTGAAAATGTCGTCATTGTCTGACATTAATATTATACTGGCTATAAATTCATAATCAGCAGCTCAAAAGATTTAAACTAATATCTTGATATATTAGTTGTGTGTCTTGAAATTTTTGTTCGGAATTAAGACCAAAACTTGCTGTTTGAATTCTGGAGTGAAAGAATGGCAGCTACATGTACATGTATTTGATTTTAAAATTTGTAATCATGACATCATTCTATGTAACACTGTATATATACAGCAAAATATCAAGTTGGAACCCTGGGAGCTAATCCTCCTTTGCTTTTCACTGTGTATACCTGATACAGTTATCATTGCAATGCACAGGGTGTCCATAAAATCACACAGACTTTGTATTGAAATTGTAAAGAGACTTTATGATTACCCTGTGACTTATACACATGCATTACTCCTCAGTAACATTTATCACCCCCCAAAATATATGTTTGTAAACATTCATTTTGCATATTTTAATTATGTGTTCACAGATGCTATGCAATTCAACGTATAAAAGATGCTTTTCGTGAACACAAAGATGAGTCAGATCCAGACAAAGTGGCAGAATATATAGCAAAAGCGAATGACAATCTAGGAATAATCAAACGACAGGTAAGCTTGTATAATAATTCAAGGGCGTAGCCAGGTTTCAGTCATAGGGGTGTGATCATCAAAAAAATTAGGTTTTCAGTCCGGGGATGGGTGCGATTGTGGCAAAAGCAACCAAAAAAATGAATTTTACAAAAACTGATGCAACTTCCTTCAAAATTGAGCTTGAAGCTTCAAATAAAAAGCATTTTAAAGCTCTTCAATTGTTCTATTTGCATTGGTTATTGGGGGGGGGGTGGCAGGTGCACCCATAGCATGGGTGGCAGGTCACACCCATAGCATGTCCCCCTGGATACACCCACATGTATGTAATTGTATGATTGATTGAAGCAAGGTCTACCATTGGCATATCCAGATATGAAGTAGGGATATATGAATTCAAACATATTTTTAATTGAAACTTTGATAATGAAGTCATACTGTGTTATTTTGCTCTGAACCGAATTTGCCTCGTCAAATACAATTTGCCGCAGCAAATTTTAGATCAGCTGATAATGCTCTTGACTACATTCTCATTTGGAATTCTGATAATTGTCTATTTATTCATTTGATCGTGAAAACTATTTATAAATTATGTTTTTAACTGGGTTCTGGTCTTTTTCAGGTAATAATTAGCCAACTTTACTCAAGCCCACATATAGTAATAGAGGATTCTGGGAAATCACCTCCTTCACCTGCAACAACCTAGCAACAGTAGAAACTCTAGACACATTGGTGTACATGTAATGGGCTGTCACAAAACGCACAAGTTAGTCATGTCACCCTGGAGACTATGGATAAAGAAAAGGACATTTACATGAAAGACAAAATTAAAGAGCTATGCTCATAATCAAAAATGAGAAATTTGACAAATCTGACATTACAGGCCAGTCAGATATTTTGGGGGGGGGGGGTGACAGGGTGACAGCATCCTCCTCTGACACCCCTTCAAAAATTATTAATAGTACCCTGAATGAGGTATAGTATTACATTGTGAAATAACTTGTCATGTGTGTGCAAATACTAATAAGGGAGTAGCCAGGGTAAAGAATTAGACAAGACAAATGTTCAAAAAGTGTTGTAACATGTTTAATAGATAGTTGTGTGAAATGCTGGTGAGGTACTTGTCTCAGCTGGCTATGCCCATGACTGATAACAACTCACTGTACTTCTACCTAATTTGGCAGATCCGCCAAATCCTTAACGTTCACCAAATTAAGTAGCCGCCAAAATCCCTGGTAATTTTAGTGGCATGTAAATTAGCACCGTTAGTACATTGTAATATTGTAAGTCTGCCAAATTAACATAAGTAGCTGCCAAATGTTCAAAACAGCAAATCTGCCAAAATAAGTAGCGCCAAATTAAGTAGAAGTACAGTATAGAGCTGTATGGGATTGTTGTAAAAGTTATCATTTTGAATAGTCTGTATACTCCATGTACATACGTATGTGTATATTGCAAAATGTGCATATAGTCTGTAGGTTTCTCAATAAACTGTATCATAGTATTTGATAACAGTACTCTGTTCTTCCTTGATTGTCTGTACAAATGCACTTACCCTTGTCATAGAGTCTTTCTGTTAAATTTCGGTGAGGCAGTCGCCTCTTCTGCCTCACGTCTGGCTACATCCATGACTGACATCTAAACATGTTTCATTACGTCATCATTTATTGCACAGCTTTATATGTCCATAAGTGTGATATTCTTATTAATCGTCGTCGTCCATACGTCCGGATATAACACTTATGGACGTATAGGGTTGCGCAATAAATGATGACGTAATCAACGCTGCATAAGTTATAGGGGAATAATGAACATGCTAATAAGTGAGTTGGTAAATCTCTATATTACCTCCAGAATTATGGTTTAGCTTATATAGTTTATTATAGTGTCACAGGCTCATACAATAAAATACAATACTAGAATACAGAAAAAAACTCTAGCCGATGCCGGTGTAGAATGGTAGGAGGTCCTATCAAATTATGGTCCTACTCTAAATACAACTCTTTCCCTCATTATCTTATACGCAATCAGGGCCAGTAAGGACCATTAAGAAAGGGGACCAGAATCCCTGGGGGACCATCATTTCTTTCACATCGGCTTATGAGACACTTATATGAATACATACAGGTAAATAGCATCAATATTACAATGTAATCAAAAACATTTCAGATTAAATGCTATATTTTAAAACACAACACTTTTGTATAAAGATGCGCCTTTTTAATAGATCTCATATCTTACAAGGGTATCAGTTCAAAAGGAAATACCAGATGACCTAACATATTTGCCATGCACTGCACCTATTCATTGTAAATGTTCTCTTTAAAAACCAAATCTTCCAAATTTATTGAGTTTTCTTGCAGAAATCGCCTAATCCCCCTCCATCAATTTTGTACGATCACCGAGCGTGATCTTAGGATTGAATAAACTTAATATGCAGCAATCTTATAACCTTTTAATTAAAAAAATAGAATTATTTCAACTGCTGACTAAATGTTTGGTCTGGACATTAATATATAATATTATCACCAAATCGGTCCATGCCAGTCTAAAGAATATCGCTGTCACTGGCCAAATCCTCTTTCGGGATCTTCTCTGCTTTCACAGCAGCTCATGTTATGTAATGCAATGAATTACACCTGGGCCAAGGATGTCATTCGCTAACTGTAATTACGATTTCTCGGCGAAATGATGTCAAATCATTACCAATTTCCCATTCGTTAAATGTATCGTATGGATCTATAGTATATCTAGAGTGTTCCCGTACTTCGAAGAATACTGACAACGATGTTGCCCACTCCACCCATGACTGACAAGAGTGTACTCATTTTCTTGAAAACAGGCTTAAAATATTTTTTGTATTTTCCCCAACTATGAGCAATCTTATGCTTCATAAGCCTTTTCTCGGTGCCAGTAGCAACAGCGGCCACTTCTGTAACTTCATCAGCAAGTTTCGTCAATCCACGTTGATCTTGGTATCGTTTCCCAAACAGTTCCCATTCCCGCATCTGTTCAAACACGAGTAACCCCCAAGTTTTCCTTTCATCTATTGGTTGGCTATTATCGATGAAGACATAACGATAGTCGCACTTGGAAAGTAGGTCATGTACCTCGGGTAGGGGGTTTTTGAAAATAAAATCATCTACAGAAACCTTTTGGCGTTCAAGCTGATCTCTGCCGGTGAAGATAACGCACGAATGCTCGTAAAATTCTTTGCCAAATATAGCTTCACATTGGGCAATTGTGTCGTTTTCCTCAGCAGTGAAACGAGTTGTTGACGATAACACATTGCAAAACACATGAGGACCAGGAGCAACGAGAACTACGGATTTGACCAATTCATCGGCTATATACTCGGGAGTAATGTTCGCTCGCGTGTCGCAGAGTCCTGGAGTATCAATGATTTCAATGGTGGCATTGGCTTCTTCCAAATAGAAAATATCATACTGGCATTCTGATGTTTGAGATTGCAGTCCACACGATGATTTGAAAGTGCCTTCTATCCCGCGGATAGAGTTTGCTGTACTGCTTTTACCGCTCCCAGTCTTGCCAATCAACATAATGCTCACAACCCCTGAAATAAATATGAAAATCATTTTGAATCTATCGTATGAATTTTCGACATCTGTGTCTACAGCTATATCCACTTAATGATAGCATTGGTACCTAGTAGATAGAATGCCCATGATGATATACCTGTAGAATATCTCAAATTAAAACCAATACAAAGTATGAACACTCATTCATACTACATACCTATTTCATGTGGAGATCCATCAGCCATTTTGCTGTGATTCTTCTCTTCTGATAGGGCTTTTTTGAATGCCGTGTTCTTGACCTACGTAGATGACAATTGCAAGTATGTGCCATTTCGGCCGTTTACATTGTATGTATTACAGTAATTGTAATAAAGTTTCAAAACTATTTGAATTGATTGTTGAGTGTTTGATATATGTATTGACAAATGGCACAAAGTCAAAGGATTAAATCGTTTTCATAAATTACATTTCGGGTTGTTGATTTTTCTGGTTGTGTGCTGGTTGTAAGTTTGAATGTCTCTTTTTTTCTTCCTGTGTTTTGTGATGCTTTTTGGTCCTGTTCCTTTTGTCACGCATGAGTACATATTTCAAGTAAGAGTTCATTAATGTTTCTTCGATTCAAGTTTTCACTTTGAAATAAACAGGTTTATTGACATTCATATGTACAGTAAAATTTTGTTTGGAACTACTTTGAATCTAAAAATTAAGCAATTAAAGGACCATATTGAAACAGAATATGTGGAAATAGAAACATTTATACATGTCCTAACTTTTGTATATTTTAGTTTGTTTTGTAGTTTAGCTATCATATCTGTGGCCTCTTATTTTTTGATGCTTCTTCGAACAAAAAATAATATGGCTGAAACTGCACATTAACAGGTATGACAACACACAACTTTTATTGTAAAAATTTGTTGGGAATATACACTTTTTAAGTGTCACCCACTCATACATTGTATATTTGTGTGAATTTAAAAAATGAAATAAACATAAACATAAACTCCCTAAATTACAAAAGGCCACAGCTTTGCTGCACTTTATACATAACTATCTGAAATATACAAAAGTTAGGACTTGTACATATGTTTCCATGTTTTCATATACTGTTCCAATATAGTCATTTGATTGCTTATTTTTTAAATTCAAAGTGGTTCCAAACATTTAAAATTTTACTGTACCACATAACATGCATAAGGAAGTACTTAACACATGGCTTTCTGACCCAGTGATCTGAGTCAATAAATACATCAAGCCTTGAGCACATACGTTAGATAACTTTCATACATAAAGACAATCGGAATGTAAACGCCCGTATCAAAAGTTTATGAAGTCACACAGAGCTCAAGTATGACATTTAGAGATATATTTTTTTAAGACAACCGAAAATAAGAAAATGGCTACAAGTAGGAGGTTCCACCATGAAAGAGGTACGTACATAAGGGTTATGTACTGGGAGGTTTTGGATATTGGTTATATCCTGAGGAATATATTTATATCAGCCTGAGGGACCGAAGGGACCAAGGGGAGATATAAATATTTCCCGAGGGATATACCCTATATCCAAAACCAATCGTACATAACTGGTGTATCTCATACTTAAGTGGGTTTGGGGTTCCACCCTTTTCAAATGACAAGATAGGCCTATACTGTAAAAGCACAATTTATACACAGTGTTATATTTAACATTTTCGTGATATTCCTTTAGTTCAATACAATGAAATTGTTACATTTAAACTTTTTAACAAATTTTAAACTTTCAAATGTTGATTTTTTGATATTTTTTAAAACTTTTGAAAAATTCCCGGGAGCGGGATGGATATATTATATCTGCCCGCATTTGGCCTGGAGCGGGACATATACAATATATCCTGCCCGCTCCTCAGATATGATATATATTCCCGTGTGATATCTACCCCAAACCCACTCAAGTATGAGATACACTATATATCGAGTAAATACTAAATAGGGGAGAATTCATTCTCAAAGGAACAAAATAGTATATGTAGTCTCGGTTTGGAGAACGAAGTTCATCAGTTTACTGCACGTTACGCCTGCTTTGGATCATTTTGATATTTTTACATCTTGTAGATTTAAATGTCCTCTTTTGAATACTCATAATTTAATTTGGGTGATATTTCTATATTTTTCATGAAAAAATATTAGCCCAGGAGACTGTTCTCGAAACTGAGACTTGTCCTTTCAACAATTTTACGCACAAGTTCTCTTAAAATTATTTGAATATTAGTACCAATGGAAATACCTTATTCTGTAAAATGTTCGTGAAACCGTATGGGTACAATTTTCTTTTCATTTTAGGAAGTTCAAGGGTTGTGAGCATTATCTTAATTGGCAAAACGGGAAATGGTAAAAGTAGCACGGCGAACTCTATCCGTGGAAAAGAAGGTACTTTCAAATCATCGTGTGGACTACAATCTCAAACATCAGAATGTCAGTATGATATTTTCTATTTGAGAGAAGCCAGGTCCACCATTGAAATCATTGATACTCCAGGACTCTGCGACACGCGAGCGAACATTACTCCCGAGTATATAGCTGATGAATTGGTCAAATCCGTAGTCCTGGTTGCTCCTGGTCCACATGTGTTTTGCATCGTGTTATCGTCAACAACTCGTTTCACTGCTGAGGATAACAACACAATTGCCCAATGTGAAGCAATTTTTGGAAAAGAGTTTTATAAGCACGCATGCGTTATCTTCACCGGCAGAGATCAGCTTGAACGCCAAAAGATTTCTGTCGATGATTTCATTTTCAAAAACTGCCCAACTGAAGTACATGCCTTACTTTCCAAGTGCGACTATCGTTATGTCTTCATCGACAACAGCCAACCAATAGATGAAAGGAAAAGTTGTGGGTTACTGATGTTTGAACAGATGAGAGCATGGAGACTGTTTCATAGACGGTACCAAGATCAACGTGGATTGACGAAACTTGCTGATGAAGTTACAGAAGTGGCCGCTGTTGCTACTGGCACCGAGAAAAGGCTTATGAAGCATAAGATTGCTCATAGTTGGGGAAAATATAAAAAATATTTTAAGCCTGTTTTCAAGGCAATCGGTACAGCTGTAGCAGTCGCAAGTGGAATAAGTACCATTGTTGTTAACATACTTAAAAGTACAGGAACAATATAGAAACAAGTATTTAGAATTCGAGAAAATGATCGAAGGATAATCATAGATTCATGTTCATGTCATGATTTGCCCTAAACCTGTTTTACCAGACAACATTTTTGAATTAAACCGAGTGTAATATAGCCTCAGAAACCATTCGCGATTACAGGCCAATGAAATGAGGCCAATAATGTAATTATCGCCAAGCTAGGCCTTCATTCCATATTACATCTTGATACAAATTATGCGAATAAAATCAAAACTTCAAATCCGCCATAAGAAAAATTAGTAAGCATTTGAGATCTTTAGCACTTCCTTCGAAAATAAGTATAGCAGTTTTAAACTGTATACGTACGTACTATTGTATTGTATTAGCAAGCACTATTGTATTAATATTTTTATCAACAATTCTTTATTGTACAGAATCCATCGTTTTCATTTGTTTTAATAAAATGTGAAATTCACGATCGAAATTAATACACTTGAGTAATCAATCAGCACCGATGTTAAATGCAATATTGCGGAGCAGAGATCGTTTAACAACATTTACTTTAAAATCGAGAGAACATTTAAATCGCTTGGTGTCAATAACGTCAAAAGGCCAACGTTTTTGAGTTTTCTATAATTTATTAAAGTATTTCTTCGAGATAAGCACCACTTACCTCTACCCTTTTTAAAAGCAGCAGCATATACAACACCGATGAAGATCTTCCATTCAACGCAACCTCCATGGTACCAGCATACAATGTTTTGATACACTCAGAGGCCATTGTGTTATTCTACTGATTGCTTCTGGGTCTAAGGGTAAACTTTATGAAAATTTCAAAGTGAAGTTAGCAGAAAGGCTACCCATTTTCAATACTAGCAGTTTAATCCTGGTTCTTTAAAAGCGGTCTTCACCTTACACATGATTACTATAAACTGTTGCCTCCTTTCATCCATTTAACATCAGATTATTATCTTGCGAGGGTATTAGTTGCGAGATTTCGCAACTCACTTATAACACGTTTATCATTCCCGTATTATAACGTATAACTTATAAAGCGTTTGATTACGTCATCATTTATTGCGAGAGTTCCATACATCCAGAAGTGTGATATTCTTAAAATCGTCGACTATAAATACAGAATATCACATCATTTTGAGTGATATCATTTTTATCGCCGAGTTGATATCAAATATCAACACGAGTGAGCGAAGCGAATGAGTGTTGATATTTGATATCTACGAGGCGATAAAATGATATTACGAGAAATTATGTGATATTGGGTTTATCCCATTATTACAATCACCTTGTGATGTTCTGATCCAATTTCCAGGACATTGGCAGACAATATAAACTAGAAATTAGAATATCAATTGAATATTTGAAACACATTATTTTAACAATTAAAAGTAAGTAACATGATATAGTTCGTCATAAATATCATTTTTAATCGTTAGTTAGCAGCCTTCTAATCAAATTATATACACAATCGTAATTCAATACACCAATGAAACTTAAAGAGAATAAATCAACGGACCTATTTTCTCAAAAGAGAATGAGTTTTCTGACCTAATTTCCAACAATATTGTGGCGCGAAATGCAAATGTGATATCACACGGATATGCGTGAGATAAACGATATCACACGCATATGAGTTTGATAAACGATTTTCTGGAAAGTATCACACGGATTTCAATAATATCAGAAATACCAATAGCTGTTATTGTACAGATAACACATTAATCGTGGGACAAGTAAGAATATCACACGTCTTATGGACCTAGAGAGCTACGCAATAAATGATGACGTAATCAAACGCCTCAGAAGTTATACGGGAAAACTGCTATAAGTGAGTTCCGAAATCTCTTTAGTACTAGTTTAAAAACTCTATATTTACATTACAATATTGAGGGCAATGCCTAATAAATAATGCTGACATGGTGATCGATCAAATAGGTGATGCGAAAAAGGAAATCATTGTGACATTGGTGATTAAAAAGTAAAATTAAGAAATAAAATACTCACTGTCACGAAACGTTAATTGGAAGAAACAAACAGAAGAAGAAATGTATTCATGGCCAGATTCAGATTATCTACTACAGTTGAGGAATAGTATCTTTAAAGATCCAGAATTCATAACTATATAAATATTCGTTAATGGGCCACGTTGAAATATGATTTACTACATAAATTAACATAAAATAAAAATTATTTTTAACAATAATAATTTATTAGATAGAAAATAAAAATTTAGAAACATTCAATTTTCTACATGATATTACTCTTTTCTAAAGAAAACTTGTCTTCCGATACTTTATATTTTATATGCTAACTACATGTACATGTAGCTCTGATCGTTGGATACTATATAGGCCTATTTGATATCTTAACTACATGTAGCTTTGATCATTGGATATTATATAGGCCTATTTGATATCTTAACTACATGTAGCTCTGATCGTTGGATACTATATAGGCCTATTTGATATATTAACTACATGGAGCTCTGATCGTTGGATATTATATAGGCCTATTTGATATCCTAACTACATGTAGCTCTGATCGTTGGATACTATATAGGTCTATTTGATATCTTAACTACATGTAGCTCTGATCGTTGGATACTATATGTATTTGATATCTTAAGAACACTATATAGAACACTATCTAAACTGCATGTACATGTAGCTCTAATCGTTGGATACTATATAGGCCTATTTAATATCTTAGCTACATGTAGCTCTGATCGTTCGACACTATATAGGCCTATTTGATATCTTAACTACACGTAGTCTGATCGTTGAACACTATATAGGCACATTTGATATCTCAATTTTTGGTGGCCTATTTGATATTTTAACTACATGTAGCTCTGATCGCTGGATACTATATAGGCCTTTTTGATATCTGAACTACTTGTTGCTTTAATCGTTGGATACTATATAGGCATATTTGATATCTTAACTACACTGTACATGTAGCTCTGATCGTTTGATGCTATATGGGCCTACTTAATATCTCAACTATATTTAACTCCAACCATTGGGTGCTATATAGGCCTTCTCGTAGCTTTGGTCTTTGGATACTACGTATTTGATATCTGGTATATGTAGTTCTGATCTTTGGATAATATGTCTTGATATAGTACACATAGCTCTGTTCTTGGATACTATGTATTTGATATCTTAAGTACATGTAGTTCTGATCTTTGGATACATGCATTTGATATCTTAAACACATGTAGTTCTTATCTTTGGATATTTTTCATTTGATATCTTAAACACATGTAGTTCTTATCTTTGGATATTTTTCATTTGATATCTTAAATACATGTAGTTCTGATCTTTGAATACAATGCCCTTGATATCTAAATTACATGTAGTTCTGATCTTTGAATACTATGCCTTTGATATCTTAAGTACATGTACATGTAGTACCGATCTTTGAATATAATGCCTTTGATATCTTAAATACATGTAGTTCTGATCTTTGGATACCATGCCTTTGATATCTCAAATACATGTAGTACTAATCTTTGGATACTATGCTTTTGATATCTTAATTACATGTAGTTCTGATCTTTGGTTACTTTTCATTTAATATCTTAAGTACATGTAGTTCTGATCTTTGGATACTATGCCTTTGATATTTTGAATACATGTAGTTCTGATCTTTGGATACTATTTCTTTGATATCTTAAATACAAGTAGTTCTGATCTTTGGATACTATGCCTTTGATATATTAAATACATGTAGTTCTGATCTTTGGATACACTGCCTTTGGTATCTCAAATACATGTAGTTCTGATCTTAGGACACTATGCCTTTGATATCTTAAATACATGTAGTTCTGATCTTTGGATACAATGCCTTTGGTATCTCAAATACATGTAGTTCTGATCTTAGGACACTATGCCTTTGATATCTTAAATGCATGTAGTTCTGATCTTTGGATACTATGCCTTTGATATATTAAATACATGTAGTTCTGATCTTTGGATACAATGCCTCTGGTATCTCAAATACATGTAGTTCTGATCTTAGGACACTATGCCTTTGATATCTTAAATACACGTAGTTCTGATCTTTGGATACAATGCCTTTGGTATCTCAAATACATGTAGTTCTGATCTTAGGACACTATGCCTTTGATATCTTAAATACATGTAGTTCTGATCGTTGGATACTATGCCTTTGATATCTTAAATACATGTAGTTCTTGATCATTTGATACTATGTTTTTGATATCCATTTAGTTCTAATCTTTGAATACTTTTCATTTGATATCTTAAATATATGTAGTTCTGATTTTGGATATTTTGCATTTGATATCTTAGTACATGCAGTTCTGATCTTTGGATATAATGACTTTGATATCTTAGTACATATACTTCTGATCTTTGGATGGTATTTCTTTGATATCTTAAATACATGTAGATCTGACCTTTTAATACTATGTTTTTGATATCCATGTAATTCTGATCTTTGAATACTTTTCATTTGATATCTTAAATATATGTAGTTCTGATCTTTGGATATAATGCCTTTGATATCTTAAATAAATGTAGTTCTGATCTTTGTATACTATGCCTTTGATATTTTAAATACATATAGTTCTGATCTTTGGATACTATTTCTTTGATATCTTAAATACATGTAGAACTGACCTTTTGATACTATGTACATGTAGTTCTGATCTTTGGATATTATGCCTTTGATATCGTAGGTACATGTAGATTGTAGATCTGATCTTTGGATATTATGCCTCTGATATCGTAGGTACATGTAGATTGTAGATCTGATCATTGGATATTATGCATTTGATATCTTAAGAACACGTAGCTCTGATCATTGGATATTATGCATTTGATATCTTAAGAACACGTAGCTCTGATCATTGGATATTATGCATTTGATATCTTAAGAACACGTAGCTCTGATCATTGGATATTATGCATTTGATATCTTAAGAACACGTAGCTCTGATCATTGGATATTATGCATTTGATATCTTAAGAACACGTAGCTCTGATCATTGGATATTATGCATTTGATATCTTAAGAACACGTAGCTCTGATCATTGGATATTATGCATTTGATATCTTAAGAACACGTAGCTCTGATCATTGGATATTATGCATTTGATATCTTAAGAACACGTAGCTCTGATCATTGGATAATATGTATTTGATATCTTTAACATTTGTAGTTGTGATCTTCGGATACTAAGTATTTTGTCTGAAATATT